CCTTTCGCCTCTCTTTTGCTATCCCAGAGCCTATTAATTATAGCTTAGTATACGGTTTGGTTTTGCTCTTTGTTAAATATCGTACGGTATCCTGTAATTGTTCACAGCTTTTTCACATTACTTGTCTCATTGAGTGCAATCATACACCCCCTAATTTTTATGTTTTGAACTTCAATCGTACAAATAAAAGGGGGAGGGTTAAGATTTTTAAATCAAAGCACGAAAGCGCTGTAAAGGCAGTTAATTACAGGTTGTGTGTATTTTAAGTCCAGTTATATCATTATCTTGCATAGTACAGTGTACTTATCAGGGGTGGCTTTCAGTATTTAAGATTTAGAGTTCTCTAATGATATTGAATAAGTTTTATGAATGTCATATTCTGAGCACTATATGAAGGCGATTGTTCTCACTTGTTTATGAACTAGTGCATTATGTCCAGTTTGTACCTTTTTTATCTATCTTTATAGTCAAATTAGTTATCAAAGGTACCAGGATTATAATTTAATACGCCAGACGTGTGTTTCGTCTACATAAGACTCATCAGTGACGTTCAGATCAAAATAGTAACAAAGCCAAACAAGTACAAAGTTGAAGAGCATTGAGGACCCAAAATTCCAAAAAGTTGTGCCAAATACGGCTAAGGTAATCTATTCCTTGGATAAGAAAATCCTTAGTTTTTACATTGGCAATTATAACACATCTCCTTATTTATATAATGATCTATATTCAACGACCTCAGGTACAAAAAAAATGTATGTAACTAAACTATGATGGGAAACCTTTGACTTCTTTCTTTATATAAACTTTTGATTTGGTACCATAGAACTATGTAGAGTAAATGTACATTGCTACATGTCAACTCTTTCAACTCCAAGCAAAATTATATTTCCAAGCATAAAGTAATTTATGAATGAAATAAAATGCTCCGCTGGGGTGCAGCTTGATACGACTGCAGAGGTCGAACCCTGAACAGTTGGGGCAAGTATGAACACAACATTCAAGCTTGATTCAGCACTGAATTTGGATTGTAATTAAATATTTGACACAGCATAGGTTTCTGACACAGAATGAAAGTGGTCTAAGATACTTAAAAAAATTTAATTTACCTATTCAAACCATATCATTATTATTTGCTTTTATATATAAATCAGAAATAACCAATTTAAAATGGAAAATTTTAAAGAAAAAAAAGGAAAAAGAATCCCCCCCCAAATTTTTTGAACCCCCTTATGATTCATCACCCCAAAACTCAATCCCAGCCTTCCCTTTGTGGTATGGTACCTTGCAGTACAATTTCAGAGAGATCCATACACTTGAACACATGTTATTGTCTGGAAACTAGAAAAATGCTTGTTTTTTGGCCCCTTTTTGGTCCCAAATTCCTAAACGTTTAGGGCAATTACCCCCAAACTCAAACCCAGCTTTCCCTTTGTGATATGGAACCTTGTAGTACAATTTCATAAAGATCCATACACTTACACACAAGTTATTGCCATGAAACTAGAAAAATGCTTGTTTTTGGCCCCTAATTCCTAAAATTTTGAGGCAATTACCCCCAAAATCAATCCCAGCATTCCCTTTGTGATATGGAACCATATGATACAATGTCAGAGAGATCCATAGACTTACACACAAGTTATTGTCATGAAACTAGAGCTTGTTTTTTGCCCCTTTTTGGCCCCTAATTCCTAAAATTTGGAGGCAATTACCCCCAAAATCAATCCCAGCATTCCCTTTGTGGTATGGTACCTTGCAGTACAATTTCAGAGAGATCCATACACTTGAACACAAGTTATTGTCTGGAAACTAGAAAAATGCTTATTTTTGGCCCCTTATTCCTAAACTTTTTAGGGCAATTACCCCCAAACTCAATTCCAGCTTTCCCTTTGTGATATGGAACCTTGTAGTACAATTTCATAAAGATCCATACACTTACACACAAGTTATTGCCATGAAACTAGAAAAATGCTTGTTTTTTGCCCCTTTTTGGCCCCTAATTCCTAAAATTTGGAGGCAATTACCCCCAAATTCAATCCCAGCATTCCCTTTGTGATATGGAACCTTGTGATACAATGTCAGAGAGATCCAAAGACTTGCACACAAGTTATTGTCATGAAACTAGAAAAATGCTTGTTTTTTGCCCCTTTTTGGCCCCTAATTCCTAAAATTTGGAGGCAATTACCCCCAAAAATCAATCCCAGCATTCCCTTTGTGGTATGGTACCTTGCAGTACAATTTCAGAGAGATCCATACACTTGAACACAAGTTATTGTCTGGAAACTAGAAAAATGCTTATTTTTGGCCCCTTATTCCTAAACTTTTTAAGGCAATTACCCCCAAACTCAATTCCAGCTTTCCCTTTGTGATATGGAACCTTGTAGTACAATTTCAGAGAGATCCATACACTTGAACACATGTTATTGTCTGGAAACTAGAAAAATGCTTGTTTTTTGGCCCCTTTTTGGTCCCAAATTCCTAAACGTTTAGGGCAATTACCCCCAAACTCAAACCCAGCTTTCCCTTTGTGATATGGAACCTTGTAGTACAATTTCATAAAGATCCATACACTTACACACAAGTTATTGCCATGAAACTAGAAAAATGCTTGTTTTTGGCCCCTAATTCCTAAAATTTTGAGGCAATTACCCCCAAAATCAATCCCAGCATTCCCTTTGTGATATGGAACCATGTGATACAATGTCAGAGAGATCCATAGACTTACACACAAGTTATTGTCATGAAACTAGAAAAATGCTTGTTTTTTGCCCCTTTTTGGCCCCTAATTCCTAAAATTTGGAGGCAATTACCCCCAAAATTAATCCCAGCATTCCCTTTGTGGTATGGTACCTTGCAGTACAATTTCAGAGAGATCCATACACTTGAACACAAGTTATTGTCTGGAAACTAGAAAAATGCTTATTTTTGGCCCCTTATTCCTAAACTTTTTAGGGCAATTACCCCCAAACTCAATTCCAGCTTTCCCTTTGTGATATGGAACCTTGTAGTACAATTTCATAAAGATCCATACACTTACACACAAGTTATTGCCATGAAACTAGAAAAATGCTTGTTTTTTGCCCCTTTTTGGCCCCTAATTCCTAAAATTTGGAGGCAATTACCCCCAAATTCAATCCCAGCATTCCCTTTGTGATATGGAACCTTGTGATACAATGTCAGAGAGATCCAAAGACTTGCACACAAGTTATTGTCATGAAACTAGAAAAATGCTTGTTTTTTGCCCCTTTTTGGCCCCTAATTCCTAAAATTTGGAGGCAATTACCCCCAAAAATCAATCCCAGCATTCCCTTTGTGATATGGAACCTTGTGGTACAATGTAAGAGAGATCCATACACTTACACACAAGTTATGTCTGGAAGTTACAAAAATGCTTATTTTTGGCCCCTTTTTGACCCCTAATTCCTTAACTGTTGGTACCATAACCCCCAAAATCAATCCCCACTTTCCTTTTGTGGTATTGAACCTTATTTTAAAATTTCATTGAGATCCATTCACTTAAACTAAAGTTAGAGTGCGAAAACTAATGTGTCTTCGGACGACTACGCCGACGTCATACCAATATACGACCACAATAATTTTTTTGCGGTCGTATAAAAAGGAGTTCTTAATTAAGAAATAAACTGATTTGCTGAGCGCAGCTGGATACACCCACAGAGGTACTACCCTGAACAGCTGGGGCAAAAATGGACACAATATTCAAGCTTGATACAGGTCTGAATTTGGATTGTAATTAAATATTTGACATATTATAGTTTCTGAATAAATGTAGTCAATGAACTTGAAATCGGTTATATGAATTGAATTTATATTCAATTAAAGATTTCTTGCTGTTGTGCAATACACTGTGCTGTTGTGCAATACTTAATAAATCTGTTGCCAGACTATAAACAAATAAAGTTCAATTTCTTCTCAATGTCATATTTGAAATTTATGAAAATCAATAGGGAGATTACATCAATAGCTATAAATAATTCACCAAAGTTTCATGTGAACTGCTTAGAGCATTTTTGAGTTGTTGTCCAAAACTGGAAAATCCCCCCTTTTTTAATGAATAAAACCCCATAACTCAGAAATGTAAAATCTAAAATTTATAAAATTCTAAAGGGAGCTTACGGATTGATAATTTAGTCTTAGATGCAAGATTTTTTTATCAGTTGTTAGTGGCTTTGAACTAGCTGTCAGTAACTGCGAGTACTCTCAGATTTGTACTTAGTGTCTTTTTGTTGTTTGGATGTACAACTACCCGACCACGTCCACTTGTATTTGTATTTATCCATCTGATGAGTTTAGCCTCTTTCAACTGATTTTTATAGTTCTTTCTTATATTGTACTGTTACACCACTGTCCCAGGTTAGGGGGAGGGTTGGGATCCCGCTAACATGTTTAAGCCCGCCACATTCTGTATGTACATGTATGTGCCTGTCCCAAGTCAGGAGCCTATAAAAGTGTAATTCAGTGGTTGTCGTTTGTTTATGTGTTGCATATTTGTTATATTTGTTCATTTTTTTACATAAAATAGGCCGTTAGTTTTCTTGTTTGAATTGTTTTACATTGTCATTTCTGGGCCTTTTATAGATGACTGTGCGGTATGGGCTTTGTTCATTGTTGAAGGCCGTACTGTGACCTATAGCTGTTAATTTCTGTGTCATTTGGTCTCTTGTGCATGTGTGGAGAGTTGTCTCATTGGCAATCATACCACATCTTCTTTTTTATATTTACATCAACAGATATAAAAAATTCACCCAAGTCAAGGTGAGACAACAAAACTTAGTTGTAAGATCTCTGAAATTTTTTACAGGGTACGAGTTTTTCTCATTGTTGGAGATTGTACGGTGACAGTAACACCTGTAACTGCTTAAACCCATTTCTTATGCACTTTAGTTTGATAAACTCACTGAATATCATACCACATCTCCTTATTTTTATATGCATTACAATTTACATGTGCATGTAATTGTAAATATATATATATCAGAACAAAATTCATTGCGTCACTTTTATTTCTGCATCCTTTGGCACAATACAAGTTCTAAAATTACACAACATAAAACAACTAAATGTTATTTCAGATGAAAGTTTTGTTTCAGTTCCATTCATATGATTTATTAGAATTTTGTATGTTTTGCCAAGTCCAATAATTCGCTCTATGTGACATAGAGACATAGTTGACTAAACCACCAGGTGTCGAACATTCAAGAATTTTCAGTGTTTCTGTTTTAATTGATGAAAAGGTTGCCTGAGCTCTAGGAGCTTTAGGTTTTATCACGGGATATTCTGTGCTGAAAAATACCTGACTAAACCACTAGATGGCTAAGTGTTAGCCTCACACCACTGTTTAGACATAAAAACAATCCATGTATACACAATATTCTTAACACTAGATTCAATCTAGAATCTAGACAGTTCAAAGTTGGTTGTATGATGCCTCAATTTCATCAAAGTCATAAAAAAACTGATTTTCAACTGACACCCTATCAATTTGAAAATATATGTATCTCAAACAATGTGCTGCTGGACCAAGTGTGGTCAAAACAAATAAAAATTTAGTATACAACTCTAAACCGGTATAAAAATGCATGGCTGTGTCACGTGTCTTCATTTCAAAATTCTCTGCTGAAAACATAGGCATTGATGGTGTTTGCGTAATTCCATCTGTGAAGCTCAACATTAGCTCGGCAGTTGGTGGTGGACAGTCATAAATCTTTTCTGCAGTATGAATGACTTCTTCAGGAAAACCAACTTTACAATCGAAACTTTCCTCTAGATTTCTACTACAATATTCATCAAGTTTAGTTCTTTTGTTTTCACAGGAAACTGCCCTGATTTTTCTTTTTGCGGACGATTCAGTCTCTTGCTTGGTCCAGGAAAATAGGCTGGGAATTGCAGTAGACTTAAGTCTCTGTATGGTGGGTTTGCGCCCTGAAAAAGGTTATAAAACATTAGTTTTTTTATAATTAAATGAACTTCCATTAGCAATGTATACTTTGTACTACCTGGCGAAATATTAACTAGATTTATTCATTACAATCTGGATAAAACTATGTTTGCCTGATTCAATGTATGGTATGTAAATCCAAAGGACAAACAATGAGAGACTTATGCAACAAACGTACATTGTTTGTACCTAAATAACTATAATATAGATGAGAGCATGTCATTGTTTTGTTCCTGTTAACATTGTCAATGATATTTTTCAAGAAAGTCTATGAGGCATAGCTTATGCATTCCTGTCATTACTACATTAGCATAATTACTGCTAAAATAATTCTCAGTATGATATACCTCTTGTAAGAAATCATTATAATTGTAGCAATCACCAAAAAATCTCAAACAGATCACATTGAATCGTAATCCAAAAAATTATGACGTCTTGAATTACCCACCCCCTTTTATTCTAAAACGATAATTGCGGTTGTAAACAGACTTTGGTTTATTCGCATGGCGATTACATATATAACTATATATTTCACAAAGAAAATAGAGTTTTACCATGAATAGTTTCCAGCACGTAGTCTTTTTCAGTAAAACGTGCCTTGCAAACAACAGCTGATTGAGATGGACTCCACGATATCATCGTGTTCTCGTCCAATCTGCGTATGGGCCATGGCGTTGATCCAACTTTTCCTTCTTTTTAAGTCATTTGGAAATGCATGTCCTCCTCTTAAATGACATCCAGGTACACAACAACAAGTACTTGTCATCGTTAATTAAAAATATAACTGAAATAGTTGCACAGTGCAGAAAACGGAAGTTGAGGAACAGGATCGGCTACAACGGCGCCACCTATTCAGGAACGATAATTTGCTACTTTATATAACTGCGAAAATAACGTTAGACGGGTTTACGTGCAGAAACAGAAATGCGCTTTAAATTGTATAATATAATTCATGTTCAGTCGACCTTTAATTATTATATCAACGACTGAAATGATTTATAAACATCTAGATTGCAGATAACACTCGAAATTAACCCGAGCTCTTTCCACACGGAATTCAAATAATTCTAGTTTGTCAATCGGTTGACTGCTTATAATGCAAAATACTAATATATCAAAAGTTTTTAAAACTAACAAAACACAATGATCGTTTCTCTATTTCCCAATGTAAATGAAATGAAACAAAAAACATTTTATATCGCAATAAGAAGAGGAGAGAATTCAACATTTCCGGATCTACTTGGAGTCTAATGACCCCCCACGTAGATAAGTTGGATATCGCGGAAGGAAGGATTAACCCGGCAACTAGAAAGGCATTAAAGCACTGCCTTTAAAAAAACCATGTTTAAACCTGCCACATAAGAATTATATACTATATTATGTATATAAAATCGAATGTAGGATGATAGTCGACCAGAGTTCAAGGTCGGATCCTGGGGTTAAAGTTTTCGAGATCCAGGCGGATCCTAGCTGTGGTTAAAGTTTTCGAGACATCACTAACTTTGTCCAAGGATTTGTATAGTAAGATACAAATCCTAGCTTTGTCAAACTTTAGAGAAGTTTATTAAACTTTGGCAGAAGCTTTTTATGATTAAGAGATATTGTCTGATGCAACATTTTGATGACGTTTTTTCTTCATTTATATTCCCGATTTTTACCGGTACAGGGATTAGTTTGGTTTAGTTACATTCCGAGTAAAAGTTTTTAAGACATCAAAAACTTTCGCAAACCTTCTTAGAATCTTATGAAACTTTGGAAAAAGTATTTTTATGATTAAGAGATCATGTCTGAAGAAAATTTTATTATTTCTTTATTTTCAGTTTTCAGTATTTACTCAAGGATTTGTATAGTGAGATACAAATCCTTGATTTACTGATAGATTTAGTTTACTACAGTTAACATTTACAGTCTATAGACATATATTTTAGACATCCATAACTTTGTTAACCCTGCAGTGAATGTTATGAAACTAAGACATAAGATCCTTACAGATCAAGAAATAGCATCTGAAGAAAATAAATGAAATTTTACGTATTTTTTAAAAATTTAATTGATAATTGGACCTAGTTTTTGGCAATCTACAAGTAACCTTTTAAACTTGACAATAGCAAAAGTAAGTGTGACACAGGGTTCCGCGGCCCTCTTGATGATTTTTTTAAAGTATATTAAACTGCATGTCTGATATATCCACATTATTAATTCCATATTGGTGCATTAAGTTCAACATCAAACTGGAGGCTCCAATGAGCCTGAAACACTTACGTGGATGTATTTTGCACAAATAGCAAAACTAGATTTCTTCTTACATCCAAGTAAATAATGAAACATATGGTAAATATCTTCTAAATAAAATTGAAAACGGAAATGGGGAATGTGTCAAAGAGACAACAACCCGACCAAAGAGCAGAAAACAGCCGAACGCCACCAATGGGTCTTCAACACAGCGCGAAAATCACGCACCCGTATGCGGACTTCAGCTGGCCCCTAAACAAAAATGTGTACTAGTTCAATGAAAATGGACGTCACACTAAACTCCAAAACATATAAATGAATTAAAATTAAATAAACGGGGAATGTGTCCATGGGACACAGATGATACCCCAGCTTTCATATCATATAAAGATATAAAGGGACATAACTGAAGAACGGTAAAAGTGACGCTACCAAAATTTGTACTTGATCTGAGTTTTGTGGTAATAAGTATTGTGTATAAGTCTCATAACATTTGATTGAGGCTAACTTTAGTTGAAGGGAAACGAAAAGTTCAGCAATTTTTATGTTTATAAAGGGGCATAACTCTAGAAAGGTAAAAGTGACGCCACCAATTTCGAACTTGATCTGTGTTTGGTGGTAAATTGCATTGTGTATAAGTTTCATAACATTTGGTTGAGGCAAACTTAAGTCAGAGAACGGAAACAAACATTCAGTATTTTTTATGTTTATAAAGGGGCATAACTCAAGAACCGTAAAAGTGACGCCACCCAATTTCAAACTTGATCTGTATTATGTGGTAATAAGCATTCTGTATAAGTTTCATAACATTTGGTTGAGGCAAACTAAAGTTAAGAGAATGGAAACAAAAAATTCAGCAATTTTTGTTTATAAAGGGGCATAACTCAAGAACAGGAAAAGTGACGCCACCCATTTTTCAAACTTGATCTGTATTATGTGATAATAAGCATTCTGTATAAGTTTCATAACATTTGGTTGAGGCAAACTAAAGTTAGAGAACGGAAACCAACTTTGGGACTTACGGGCGGACAGACGGACAAGGGTAAAACTTAATGCCCCCTCTGCTACGGTGGAGGCATAAAAACATACAAGACTAACAAAGGCCAGAGGCTCCTGACTTGGGTAAGGCGCAAAAATACGTCTGGGTTAAACATGCTTTGTGAGATCTCAACCCTCCCCTATACCTCTAGCCAATGTAGAATAAACAAACACACAGTAAAGATCAGTTCAAAAGAAGTCCGAGTCCAATGTTAGAATAGGTAACAAAAGAAACTAAGAACTTTTCTGCATGGTTAGTTTTCAATTTATTTTATCTGTAGATAGAAATCATAGCGTAATTTCTTATAGTGTTTCAATGTAAACTATGGAGTCTACTGGCAGCTTTCTGGAATTAGTTTTGAATCAATGAAACTTTGTCTGGCCCTCAGAAGCCATATTGGACTTTAATCAGGACCAATTTACTAACACTTGATAGGTGCCTTCTGAAAAACATTTCTGCATTGTTTACATTCGACTTGATCTGATATTAAAAAGAAGACAAACTGTTATTTCTCATAGGGTTTCAATGTATACTTTTACCTCTGTTGGATGCTATATTGAATTCCTGATCAACATCAAAGTAACAAGAGTGTTAAGGCATGTTTGTTGACCATTTAAAGTAACAATGCTCAGACAGGACCTTGTCAGGAGCATTTTAGTCAACTTTCGAATCATTCTGTTCAGTGGTTTCGGAAAAAAAAACAGAATATGAAAAGTAAATAGAGCGCCAGGTGCCCAAACAAGAAAATAAAAAAAAAGTTATTGATACTGGTCCGACTGTTACATTCATTTTTTTTTAAGAATAATCAGAAAACTTTGATGAAGAAACTATTAACTGTTGACTGTAGGAAAGTAAAGACAGGAACAGTTACAAACACTCCCAAGACCCAAGTATTGGTCATTAGATTAGTACTTGAATCAAAGGCAAAATAATCCTGCCTCCAACAAACACTTTAATGACTATGTAAGTAATTCTCTATTGGGCATGGAAGAATAACTCTAATTTTACAAGAAGCTTTTGAAATTTGAGAAATTCAAAGGGTTTTGCAGGATTTTCACAATTTTTGTAAATTTCAAAGGCATTGTTCCGGTTTTCAGGGTAGAGTGGTAACTGTGCATTCCACTGTTTCAGATTCTTGAAATGTCATGCTCATTCACTTATATAACACTTATTCAGGCTCCATTCATTTTAACTTTCATCACAAAACCTCATGAAGACTCGTCTCACCAAAAATGCCTTTTTTGGGAAGGACAAAATATCAAATTGTAATTTTAAAAGCTTTAAAGAAAAATATATTATTTTTTTTACAATTTTTATTACCATAATAAACAATGACAAATTTTATAATTCTGCAAAGAACAAATGTTTAGTGTTTAAGGTTCAAATGTTCTTAAATTTTAGAATTTATGAAAAAAAACTTAAACCAAAGGGAGATAACAACTATATAAACTTAACCAACTGCAAATAAAATATTCACCACTAAATATTTGTCCTCAAAACTATAATACAAAACAAAATGATTGGCAAAGCAAACAATGATCATTTATATAATTATATACTCTTGTATTAAATATATGAACTTAAAATACGAAAAGAAAACATTTAACACTAAAGCCATGCAAAATTAATCTTTAGTTTCTCATGTACGGTTACAACATTATAACGAGGCAGGATAACACATTTCACCACATCCATTTAAATGGTAATGAAATAAAAATTATTTAATCCATTATTTTGCTCATGTATCAGATAAGATTGATATAAATGTACATGAGAAACTGAAAGTTCAATTGATGGTCTTACTTATATATAGATACACTTAACATTCAAAAGCAATAGTTTATTTATAACAGGAATTTATATTCTTCAAGCAGACATCGGAAATTAAAACTTTTTACTTAACTGCAACTTCAAATAAGTTCTTGATTTTAAATATATTTATGCATTAATACATACAATTACCTTCATAAAAATATTTTTATGTATCCTAGAAAAGGCTTTAAATACAAAAAATTTTGCTTTACCCATTCTCAAAACAATTTCAAACATTTTTTTTAATTCTAAATATCAAATTGTTAATTTAATTTAGTGAATAAATGATTATAAACAAATGAAACCAGAACCCAGTTGAAGAAGTACAATTATTTACAATGTAATGTCTGTACTTTTTAACATCTATGCATAAATTTCAAAAATAAACAAAAGCTAATTCAAATCCCAATTAAATGGAAAACAATGGGCAATTGAGTTTTAAATATGATTTTATACTACTGTAGCGATTGATACAAATTTCTGGTAATATTTTGATTTCAAATTCTTCAGAATAAGATTTGCAGAACAGATACCAAATAAAAAAACAAAACTATCCATTTGAAAAATAAATTTGTACAATAATAAGCAGTAAAATAATTCCAAAACATATTGTTTACATAACCATTCATGACAATTCCAAAACATATTGTTTACATAACCATTCATTACAATTCCTTTAATGTTTACAAATAAATCTATGGAGTAAAAATTTCATGCGTAGACCATGTCAATACTATAAAAAGTTTGCATTCACAAAATGAGACAAACAGTTTATTTAGCTTCATATTTACAAAACATTGCAGTGATAGAAATAGTGAGACAACAACTTAAAAACTATTTTGATATTAAAACTATCTACTCATTGAGAAACCTAACACTTTTTCAATCAGAGTGAAAAAATACATAATTCTGAATCCTACCTTCAAGCATGTTATAATTTTCACTATTTTGGGTTTAAGTTTAAGACCAGCAGATTATACTCCTAAATCAGTCACATAAACATCGCCGATATAAAATCTCCATTTCGATAGCATTTTAAGAAGGATACTAATAATCAAGGCAATTACTGAATTCATATAAAACATTGCAGGGTGAAATATTTCATGGTATAAAAAAGTTTCAATTTTTGCACTGTTATTAATTCAAAATACAAAATTAACCATTTGTTTTTATTTTGAGTTGTTGCTATTCAATCAGCCTAATTCCTAGTGTGTCAGTCTTGCATTTCTAAAACAACTAGGTGGTATATTTCAATCCTGTATTCTTTAATAACATTGTATTTCTCGTATATCAACATTTATATATTTCTTCTTCCTACAATCATTAAGGATGTTTGCTCCTCTTGTTTTTGAAGTTTTGCCAGATTTTCGGAATCCTCTGGTTTTATCCATGTATTGCCATTAAAAAATTTTGCCCACTAATCCCTACTTTTCTTTTCATAATTTTATTACATATAGTTTAAAAAGCCATATTTGAAAATCTTATAAAATCCTTGTTATTTTTTCATAGTTTTTGAAACAAAAAGCGGCCAATGTTAAAAGTACGAAAAATCTAGAGAGAATCATTTCCCGCCAAATTTTCAATGGCTTATATCTCAAAAACAAGCACACGGACCCATCATTTTTTTCTGCTTTTTTAGTTCCTTTATTTATATACTATCACTTTAGAATAGTCTTTTAAAAAGCTTGTTATTTTGAATCAGAGTAGCGAACATCCTTAATACTGAATTTATCTTGCTTTGCTGAAGATGGCAATATTCTATGGCCTTTTTACTATACTATCTCTGTGTTCAAAAATGAATAAAGATAAGATAATTAATAAGTACTTTTACTACAATTATAATAATAAACACTATTCTAAAACAGATTTAGTGTCTTTGTTTTCAAGTGTCAGGTGGAAATATATAGTTGATCCAAATTTATTTGGTTGCATTTTACCAATGCAACTTTGAAGAATTATACAATGTTTTCAATTAGACAATGTAGATAGTGGTGATTAAAGAAAAAATACCCATGAAACAACACACAATCATGAGTGCAAAAAATATAAAATAAAAACTTTCAGTGTAGTAGTTCTATGGATTAGTAATAGAAACAAAACTTGAATATTCTAGAATTTATTTCTTTCGTTCGCTCTTCTAAATTCCTTATGCTGCAATAGATTTTATTTTTCATCAAAAAATTTTCTTAGCACTGTTAGAGTCATTTAACTTGTGCCTACTGATGTAAAAAAAGTCTTGATTTCGGGGTTTTAATATTTTGCAGATACAAATTTTTGTATATTGCTTTGCTAGATGAAGTAAGTTAAATGTTATGTTTCTTTCTAGGTAAATTAAAATTCTCAAAAAATAACCAATAAGTAACTTTGACAGAATCTTAGATCTACAAAATAAGCAAAGTATCACAACATAGGAAATCAGTAAGAAGTTTAATAGTTAAATTCAATTTTATTTATATTTTTCTCTCCATCTTTCAGATAAAGATGCCAGAAGTCATTGAGAAAATAAAGTTCTTTAATTCTGTCCATTTATCTGATTCTTTTTCTTTACTCCTTCTTCTTTTCCTGTAGAGAAAAAAATAAATCACTCATTAAATTTGCATTGAATCTCGAAATGTTGCATAAAACATTCACTAGATCCAAAGATGACTTTAGAATCTCAACTATTGGTGGATGTCAAGTACTTTTTTGTATATAGTTTGACTTTCATCTCACAGATCTGAATTTTAACATCATAAGCTGTTACTGTGACAAAACATTATGTTCCCCTTGGTTGATAATGTTTTCATGAGATAACAACCAGCTTTATCACCCATTCAGTTATGTGCTATTAAATTCATTATACTGAATGCCCTATTATTATTGTCTTTTAAATTTAAATACACAACAAACATGCATTTAACAAAGCACATAAATGATCAAGTGAAGAGTAATAGAATATAAGCCATGGGATAGAGTAGAATAACACCTTAGTAGTAACCCATCAAAATCTGATATTTAAACATTAAGTATAATACTACAAAATGTTCACTCTTGTTAATATCATTCAATTTTTTTTTGTGGTCAGCATTAATTACAAAACATCTTGTTCAGTAGAATAGTATGAGAGACTCATAGCTGATTTCCAAATACAAAGTCTTGCAGCATCAGCAGAACGATTTACCAGTTTAAATTCTTTTTTTGTTCTCAGATAATTTTATTGTCTTCATTAAAAATATGTAAAGCCCCAAAAAATTAACACAGAAACTTTGTACTCTGTACAAAATTACCATTATTTATGCACAAAACATGTATAAGACTTTGATTGATTTTGGAAAATTCAAATATGAAATAAAAGATGACTTTTGGTCTGTGTTGTAGGGTTCTTTTAACAACTCAATTTTCAAACAATTACAGACTTTCCATAGAGATTTTTCAAACCCCATATAGGTTAACAGATGTATTGATATTCATTTGCATAAGGTTGATTTCTATCTGACACAGCTCATATGTTTAATACATGTTACACAGTATCTTTCCTGGACTGGTTCCCATTTTAGAACTTACTTTTTTGCCTAAGATGATCATCAGTTTACGGAAGATGTTGATGAAGTCCAGGAACAAATCCACACTATGCCTGCAATTAAAACGTGTTTAGAAATTTTATTTGATTTTACTTACCAATTTTGTTACAAAATGTTTAAAAATATTATTTCCAGTTCATTATGATCTACTTAAAATTTAACTATGAGTGTAATTTTGGCCAATGATTGTAACATTAAGATTGAATTTCTTTTGCCTACACAAGTACAGTAATGAGAATATTTTTTCAGTTATGTCGACTAAATCTAAATTCCCACCATTTTAAATTTGTGATTTTCATATGTCATGTATATGTTCATTCAAAATTTAAATCAATCAAAACTACATTTGTTTGTGAGGTTAGGAAGGAACTGCTGGACATAGGTTGTGTCATTTAATGCTGTATTTATACATTGTCCACGTGATGCAAAATTACTCCCAGAATGTTGGTTTTAGGCATATTTTGGAAGTCCCTTCTGCTTTTCGGGGCCTAAGACATCCATTTTAATGGAATATCCCAAAAGAGCTCTAGTTGATATGCAATTAACCATCTGTCAATCACTTAAGGTAGCTGGTGTGTCTAAATGTTCGACTATAGATTTTTCTTAAACTCTCATAAAAGAAAACTGGGGGCCACTGACCTCCTTTTTTCTTGAAAAATCCTTCCCATCAAATTTAGTATAATTATCTGCCCTTGATTTTTAAGAATTTTTTTCTGAAAATTTTAAATACTCTTAACGACACTAAATTTTTTGATAATTTAATCTATGAATTTGAAGGCTTAGACATTTCTGTTGTATACTGAATGATATTTGGTAAATTATCTTCAAATTAAATAAGTATATTTGCAACATGCCCATAAGGAGTGCTCAGAAAAAGACACCCGATCTACCTTAAGGCCAAACAAACTATTTCAATCTTAATGTGGGAAAAAAACTAATTACACAAACTGATCGATTGATTGTTGCTTGCCTTACATGCAGTGGCAAATAATTCATGTACTTGTATATTCAGTACAAATATTCTGATCTTAATCAGTTAATGTACTTTCAATTTTATTTGTATATGTAGATTAAAGATTACGTCTACAGTCTTTATCTGAAGTGTATTATTTTTTATTCATCTTTATGCACAAACTTTTTTCATTGGATAAAAAACGACATGCCTTCAGAAGGTTCCATTAATATAATACAATCGAAAAAAAAAACATAAGCTACCTCAAAAACATTTTTCAATAAGATTTAATCCAAATCTGAATCGTACAAGTAAAATAAACTATTTTTTTCATATGCATGTCATTTTGCCATGCTATTTTTGTGCTAAAATCATTCATGAAATTTAACAGAACTTTATTTTATCTTAAATTAATACATTATTAAAAGCACTTATGTACAATTTCTTTATGTAATGCTTTTGTGACAGTCAAATTGCCAATTGACAGCGAAAACTCCAACTACAGTACTGTTATTCCTTAAATTTATGCAGTGGTGCTATGATAATCTGAAACATCTACAAATTGGAAAATCATAGTTTCTTGCTACGATGATTGGTTCGCAATTTTCTTAAATGTGCATTAATTTCTATTTTAAGATGACCCTTAGTACTGAGGTCTGTTTAATTTAAATATACATGATAACCCAGGGATTGCATCGACTTACATTTTAACTACATATAGTTGAGATTTCATAGGGCATTCCCTGGGTAGCATGTAAGTTTAAATTGACACATGTGGCACACGTTAGAAACTTCTTTTACATTTGTTCCTTTTAAATAAGGTGTTAATTAAATAATAAATTACCAGATAAAGTCATCATCTCCATTGCGTTTTCTCTCAATGATAAGTTGCGTGTCATACAGGACAAAGGCACAGAAAATCAATAATCCAACATGGAGGTACAACTACAATAGAAAAACAAAATAAAATATTGAACAAATCAACAACAAGTGTGCACACGCTGAAATGTCTTGCCTGCTTTACTGACCATTGATTTTATGTTGATAGTCCTAAATATAAGGCTTTACTACAAGTATTACATAAACTTAACATAATCCAGGTAAATGAGGTCAAGGTCAGATAAGCCAAACCAGAAATACATGTACGCCTTACAATCATTCCATACAACAAATATAGTTGACCTATTGCTTAGAGTTTCTAAGAAACAAACTTAACCAGGAAAACTTAACATTGACCAATGAACCATGAAAATAAGGTCAAGGTCAGATGAACCATGCCAGACAGACATGTACACCTTACAATCAATCTATGCATAAAATATAGTTAACATATTGCTTATAGTATCTAAGAAACAAACTTAACCATGAAAATTTAACATTAACCACGAAAATGAGGTCAAGGTCAGATGATAATTGCCAGACAGACATAAACACCTTACAATCATTCCATACACTAAATATAGTTGACTTATTGCTTATAGTTCAAGAAAAAACAGACCAAAACACAAAAACTTTACACTGAGCAATGAACCGTGAGAATGAGGTCACGGTCAAATAAAACCTGCCAGACTGACATGTACATCATAAAATATTTCCATACACCAAATATAGTTGACCTATTGCATATATAGTATTAGAAAAAAGGCCAAAACACAAAAACTTAACTTTAACCACTGAACCATGAAAATGAGGTCAAGGTCAGATGACACCTGCCAGTTGGACATGTACACCTTATAATCATTCCATACACCAAACATAGAAAACCTATTGCTTACAGTTGCACTATAAATAAAATTATTATATAGTATCTGATATATGGACTTGACCACGAAAACTTGTTCACTGATCCATGAAATGAGGTTGAGGTCAGATAAAAACTAACAGGCATGAGGACCTTGCAAGGTACGCACATCCTAAATATAGTTATCCTATTACCCATAATAAGAGAGAAATTAACATTACAAAAAATCTGAACTTTTTTCAAGTAGTTACTGAACCATGAAAATGAGGTCAATGAAAATGGACATATGACAGACGGAAACTTAAAAGCATAAGGCATCTATATACAAAGTATGAAGCATCCAGGTCTTCCACCTTTTAAAATATAAAGCTGTTAAGAAGTTAGTTAACCCCGCCGCTGGATCACTATCCCTATGTCGAGCTTTCTGCGATAAAAGTCGCAGGCTTGACAAAAATGATGATGGATAATTGTACAACATAATTAAAAATATTACTTTTTCTTAATCTTTAATATTCTACTTCTGATAACATGATAAGATCTGAGGTCAATCATTGATGAACTACTTAGACCACTCAGCCCCTTGATGAACTGATGATATGATCTGAGATCAATCACTGATGAACTACTTAGACCACTCAGCCCCTTGATAAACTGATGATATGATCTGAGGTCAATCATTGATGAACTTCTTAGACCACTCAGCCACTTGATGAACTGATGATATGATCTGAGGTCAATCATTGATGAACTACTTAGACCACTCAGTCCCTTGATAAACTGATGATATGATCTGAGGTCAATCATTGATGAACTACTTAGACCACTCAGCCCCTTGATGAACTGATGATATGATCTGAGGTCAATCATTGATGAACTACTTAGACCACTCAGCCCCTTGATAAACTGATGATATGATCTGAGGTCAATCATTGATGAACTACTTAGACCACTCAGCCCCTTGATGAACTGATGATATGATCTGAGGTCAATCATTGATTAACTACTTAGACCACTCAGCCCCTTGATGAACTGATGATATGATCTGAGGTCAATCATTGATAAACTACTAAAGACCATTCAGCCTTGGCGCCCGCCTGATAACATGATAAGATCTGAATCAATCATTCATATAACAAACTTACATCCCAAATCATCTGAGACTGGAAGAAAATGTTCATCAATCCCAACAGCATCAACCAACTTAGTCCAGACATCAAAAACCCTGAAAAATACAAAGTTTTGTAATTCACTAAGAATAACAACTCTTGCAAATTCACAGCAATTTTGTCTAATATAACCAGGGCTTTCAATAAATTTTGAAGTAGGAGGCTAAAACAAATAAAATGCTCCGCTGGTCGCAGCTTGATACGACCGCAGAGGTCGAACCCTGAACAGTTGGGGCAAGTATGGATAAAACATTCAAGCTTGATACAGCTCTGAATTTGGATTGTGATTAAATATTTGACACAGCATAGGTTTCTGAGTTCTGACACAGAATGAATGTGGTTTTAGAAAAATTTTAATTTACCTATTCAAACCATATCATTATTATTTGCTTTTATATATAAATCAGTAATAACCAATTTATAATGGAAAATTTTAAATTAAAAAAAAAGAAAATAAAATGCTTTGCTGGGGCGCAGCTTGATACGACCGCAGAGGTCGAACCCTGAACAGTTGGGGCAAGTATGGACACAACATTCAAGCTTGATACAGCTCTGAATTTGGATTGTTATTAAATATTTGACACAGCATAGGTTTCTGACACAGAAAGAATGTGGTCTAAGAACTTGAATTTTTTTAATTTACCTATTATGGTCCAATGTCCAAAATCAAAATACATGGTTAGATTCAGCATATCAAAGAACCCCATATATTCAATTTTTGTTAAAATCAAACAAAGTTTAATTTTGGACCCCAACTTGGACAAACTTGAAAACTGGGCCCATAATCAAAAATCTAAACACATGTTTAGATTCAGCATATCAAAGAACTCCAAGAATTCAATTTTTGTTAAAATCAAACTAAGTTTAATTTTGGACCCTTTGGACCTTAATGTAGACCAATTTAAAAAACAGGACCCAAAATTAAAAATCTAAATACACAGTTAGATTTTGAATATCAAAGAACCCCAATAATTCAACTTTAGATGAAATCAAACAAAGTTTAATTTTGGACCCTTTTGACCTCAATATGAACCAATTTGATAACGGGGTCCACAAATAAAAAATCTAAATACATGGTTAGATTCAGCATATCAAGGAACCCCATATATTCAATTTTTGTTGAAATCAAACAAAGTTTAATTTTGGACCCCAATTTGGACCAACTTGAAAACTGGGCCAAAAATCAAAAATCTAAATACATGTTTAGATTCAGCATATCGAAAAACCTCATATATTCAATTTTTGCTAAAATCAAACAAAGTTTAATTTTGGACCCTTTGGACCTTAATGTAGACCAATTTGAAAACTGGACCCAAAATTAAAAATCTAAATACACTGTTGGATTCGGCATAACAAATAAATAAATGTGATCAAAGATTTTACAAATCTAATGCACCATACTGTGCAATTAAAGATTTCTTCTTGAAATTTTTCAATATTTGAAATTTGAAAAAAAAATAATATTTGAAGAATAATTTTTTTAATTTCTGAAATCTGAAATGAGAAAAAATTGACCCCCCACAATTTCTTTTTATCCCCCCCCCTTTTTTCCCCCAAAAAATTCTTTCCCTCAAGATATGGTCATAATCTCAATTCAAATTTCCAATGGAGTTGGCAACCATAATTACCCATTTAAATTTACCATAGTGCTAACTTAATCTATTTTATAATAGAATTAAAAATATAGTGTCAAATCTTTCATATGGATTTTTTTGTAAAAAAAAAAGATGCAACATTTGCAGATATTTTTACTGGTCTTCCTTTATAAATATGCATTTCTTCAAACATAATTTAAAAGCAGTGTAAGGGAAGTAACCAAAACATTGTATTTGGATTACCTCCCTTACACTGTTTTAAATTATCTTTATTGTTCATTAACCATTACTTTATACATAATTTAAAAGCAGTGTAAGGGAGATAATTTCAATGATGTATTTGATTTATCTCCCTTACACTGCTTTAAGTTATGTTTTGTACTAAAGTATTTGTCCATATACCAGGACAACCTTGTTTTTCCCCCTTTTTTGCCCCTAATTCCTAAACGGTTTGAGCCATAACCCCCCAAAGCAAATCCTAACCATCCCTTTGTGGTATGGAAACTTGTAGTATAATTTCAGAGAGATCCATACACCGTTCCACAGTTATTGTCTGGAAACTAGAAAATGCTTATTTTTGGCCCCTTTTTGGCCCCTAATTCCTTAACTGTTGGTACCATAACCCCCAAAATCAATCCCAACCTTCCTTTTGTGGTATTTAACCTTATGGTCAAATTTCAAAAAGATCCATTTACTTAAACTAAAGTTAGAGTGCGAAAACCAATGTGTCTTAGGACGACGAAACCGGACGACGACGACAATGTCATACCAATATACGACCACAAAATTTTTTTCAAACCCCCTTATGATTCGTCACCCCCAAACTCAATCCCAATTTTTGATGAAATCAAACCATATCATTATTATTTGCTTTTATATATAAATAAAAAATAACCAACTTAAAATGGAAAATTTTAAAGAAAAAAAAATAAATATGGAAATAAAAATCCCCTTATGATTCATCACCCCCAAACTCAATCCCAGCCTTCCCTTTGTGGTATGGTACCTTGCAGTACAATTTCAGAGAGATCCATTCACTTGAACACATGTTATCGTCTGGAAACTAGAAAAAGGCTTGTTTTTTTGCCCCAAATTCCTAACATTTAGGGCAATTACCCCCAAACTCAAACCCAGCTTTCCCTTTGTGATATGGAACCTTGTAGTACAATATCATAAAGATCCATACACTTACACACAAGTTATTGTCCTGAAACTAGAAAAATACTTGTTTTTTGCCCCTTTTTGACCCCTAATTCCAAAAATTTTGAGGCAATCACCCCCAAAATCAATCCCAGTCTTCCCTTTGCGATATGGAACCTTGTGGTACAATGTCAGAGAGATCCATACACTAACACACAAGTTATGTCTGGAAGTTACAAAAATGCTTATTTTTGGCCCCTTATTCCTTAACTGTTGGTACCATAACCCCCAAAATCAATCCCAATCTTCCTTTTGTGGTATTGAACCTTATGGTAAAATTTCATAGAGATCCATTTGCTTAAACTAAAGTTAGAGTGCGAAAACCAATGTGTCTTCGGACGACGACAATGCATACCAATAAACGACCGCAAAATTTTTTTTGCGGTCGTATAAAAAGTAGGAGTCCACTTAATGCAGACGGCCCCGCGGCAACAAGCTTGCTCGGTGCACCTACGGTGCAAAATCCTGCATTCTGGGAGTCTCCTGGACCCTTATTCAGTCCTCGCAAAACATCATTTTTTAATGAAGATAATGTAAATGTTTGATTAAAATTTGTAGCATGGTTGAATTTTCTGTAAATTTGATCACATTTATATTTGCATTTGATCCAGACTTTCAACTTACAGCTTGTATTTGAAGTTGTTTGAGAATAGCAATGACATGGTTATATTATAGGGAAAGATCCAAATTTAATCATTTATTCATTAATAAAATTTAATTATATTTCTTGAGTTAATTTGTATTGATTTTCATTTCAGGTAAATAAAGTGTGAACTTCAAAACTGAAAAGTATCACAATTCTTCATTTTATGTTTTACTGCCTAATATTACCAAAACTGTGTGATTTTCCGCTGTAGTAAATTATATATAATGAGTGAAATTTGATGTAAATACTTTTAAGGAGTTTTATATGGAATGTAAAATATAAATATTACCAAGATGTTATCATTAACTGTAAATTTGTAATTTGAACTATCATTTGACTATGATCAATTATGGACATTCACAGACAAGTCATGGTGAGCATGGTGATCATGATTATGGGTCTGCTTAATTAAAGAAAAAGAAAATTGATATTGATTAAGATCTTGTATTTTTAATGGGCTTAACATTGTAGTTTCTAAAAGTCTAAAAGAAACACGTGGGTCAGTGGCTGTACATTCAATATTTATAAAGCACATTGTTTTTGTATTTTCCTTATCCAATGACTGATGTCAGTTTGTTTACATTTCATTTTCATTCACGCTTTTTAATTACACCAATCGTAGGTCGTTTAAAAAAAACGGTTGTAAATCGACCAATCGGGAATCTCTTTACGAACGGTGTTCGGGTGCCTTCTGCTGGTTTCTACTTTCAGTAGTTTTCGCCTTCCTCTTGTTGACAGCGATCCCAACCAAGGCGTTCGTGACTACTCGGTCATTTCACGTAGATAGGGAAAGATTATAAATATAAACCACGCTTTATCGGAAATCCCCCTTTGTTTTCTCAACAGCATAAATTTCCCCTTCAGTCATTTTTATTGATTTTTTAATTTTATACTTTTGAGGAAAGTAGGTGGCGGATTTCCTTCAAGTAGACGGCGAAAATCGCCGCCTACTGCCTTCTATTGAAAGCCCTGATATAATTTTTTGTGAGAAAAGTGAGACAGAAATATTTGTTGGATGAACATACAGATAGACAGTGTGAATGCAAAAAATAGTCATTTTTGGGCCATTTATAGCTTGCTGTTCAGGGTGAGACAAGGCTCTGTTTTGAAGGCCGTACTTTGACCTATAATTGTTTACTTTTTACACATAGTGACTTGGATGGAGAGTTGTCTCATTGGCACTCATACCACATCTTCTTATTTATTTTAACAGAATATATATACCTACCACCCATGTATAAAAAGGTTCTGTCTGTGTTGTACAATGCAGCCAAGGAAAAGCTGACAAAAATCACCGTTGTGGCCATAAAAGCTGTTGATATTATGCTGAAAACAAAACATATCCCATGTTAATATTAAGAGTAGGTGAACGACTCATTAAATTCCCAACACTGGTGTGTGATTTTTTATTGTGGATTTACTGGCAGTCATATGAAAACTCAAATTGAAAGAGAAGAAAAAGGAACTCTGAAGACTGTACAACTACTGTTAAAATGAACAACAGTAATATTGTCAGCCATTCATAGTGTTTATCTTGTCAGCTACTCATGTTTATAATTTTGAATCTGGGGCATTCAATGACTGACTACATGACTAAGCGGTATGAGTTTTGACCTATAGTGGCTAACATGCATGTTATTGAACACTGATGGATAGCTGTCTGTCTCATCATGCTCATGGACATTTCTAACATTCTTGTTCACAAGGCAGCAGTCTGCAGGAAGACTTTTGGATTGTAAGTTTGGCTGTACCTGTAGAAAACTTATTTCAAACTGGATAGCACATCCTAATTTTTACGGAGATGTTTTTTTACCGAGCCCGGATATTTATAGACGATCCAGGTAAACTAATCGATCCTTTAAATAAATTTATTCTAAAAGGTTACGTATATATACCAATTCAACACTGTAATTATATCTTCAAATATTGTTTTCATTGGTATAAATATTGATTTTGTTATCAGTAAATTAAAACCAAACTAATATCATTGTTATATACATATATATACATACATGTATGCACATTCACAGTTCTACAATCTGTCGATACTTGTATTTTGGCATTGCACAAGGTCATGTTTTTCTCTAACTGTTAATGACGTCTTTACACTAATTCTATTAGATGCGTAATGATTGATTCTTAAGTCTTAGATACATGATTTTTTTATTAGTTGTTATTGGCTTTGAACTAGCTGTCAGAAACTACAAGTACTCTCATATATCTCAGATCTGTACTTAAGTGTCCTTTTTTTTGTTGTAGGGATGTACAAATACCCTGCCACATCTGGTCTGTGTTTTTGTTAATTGTTTTTCTGCTTTGGATTGATTTGATGAGTTAAGCCCTTTTCAACTGATTTTTATAATTTGTTCATATGTTGTGCTGTTGCACCGCTGTCCCAGGTTAGGGGGCAGGTTGGGTGCACACTAACGTGTTTAACCCTGCCACATTCTGTATGTGCCTGTCCCAAGTCACGAGCCTGTAATTTAGTGGTTGTTTTTTGTTGCTGAATATTCTTTTTGTATTTCATACAATGTTTTTACATCAAATATAATTAATCAGGCCGTTTGTTTTCGTTTGAATTGTTTTACATTTGTCATTTCGGGCCTTTTATAGCCGGCTATGCAGTATGGGTTTTGCTCATTGTTTAAGGCTGTACGGTTCCCCATAGTTGTTAACTTCTATGTCATTTGGTCTCTGGTGGAGAGTTGTCTCATTGGCAATTATACCACATCTTCTCATTTTTTTATTTTATAATGATGATGATGATGGATGGTTGTTTAACATCCAGCGGCAAATTAATATGCATATTCAGGGCGAGAACATGTTAATGTTATATGAATATTAACCCTACTTTGTACTAGACCAACATGCTGAGCCGGATTTTTTAACGTGCTAGTTCACAAGGTAACAGTCCGCAGGAAAACATGTCAACTTACCCGGACACATTATTCTGACTCTGGGCTGACCAGTCTTTGCTCTTACTCCAAAATGCTGTGTGCTTAGCGGAGAAGCAGCAAATACCAATTTTAAATTCTTTGGTTTGACCCGGCCGTGTTAGAAATTATATTCTATAATTCTAAGAAATAATTGTTCTGACTACGTGCAGACCAATCTTTGCTCTAACTCCTTAATGTCCAGTATTGGCAAAAGAATCTTTGGTTTCAACCAGGTGCATTGTTACCACCAATGTGGTAAAGTAGTCATAAAAGAGGTACATACACTTGTGTTTAAACAGGGGAAACATAATATCCTATGACAACACAAAATTATAACTACAACATATTTTACTAACCTTGGATCAATGTCTATAACCCAATCCATGACTGGACCAAGTGACATTCCACTGAAGAAAGTGAAACCTGTAAAGATGGCCATTCTTTTCATCTGTGTCTCTTTTGAGTGATGTGTGAGTGCCAACCATATCATTAATCCAATAGAGGCTAATGAGGTGATGAAACTGGCCTGCAAGAAGTAATGAAAAATATCATCTTATCTGCATTAGTGTTTATCTACCGGTAATTTCTAAAAATTTGTACATTCCATAGGAAAATCTGCAAAAATTATTTGTAAACTGCTAAAAACATAAGAAAGTCTGTAAGACATAATTTATAAACAGCCTTATAACATAGGAAACTAGGGAGAGTTGACCAAGAACTATTTGTAAACAGTTAATATAAACACATAGAAAGTCTGCCAAACATTATTTATTTACAACTAAACACATAAGAAAGTCAACAGAACATTATTTGGAAACAGCTAAACACATTGGAAAGTCTGCAAAATATAATTTGTAAACACATAAATACAAAGGAAAGTTGGCCAAACATTATTTGAAAACAGCTAAACACATAGGAAAATAGAATTTTGTCAACAGCTAAACACATATAGGAAAATGTAATTTGTCAACAGCTAATTATATATAAACCTTCAGTTTCTTATCATGCTAATGAGAGATATAATCAAAGTTTTGAGTAATCAAATTTTCACTGAAATTGTTTATCTTTATAATTTTTCTTGTGAAAACTTTGTTGCAATCAGAGGTAAATGTTGGAACACACATGAACAGCACTTCATATCAAATGTTCCTGGATACCTACCCTCATAAGACCAGTGAACAGGTGGACATAGGCACCTACACCAGCAGCTATCATGGATATAGACAGAGTTCCATAAACTTTCTTCAAGTGCTCCTGTACACTTCTTTCTCTGAAGAAATTATAAAAGAAATATTTAAATGAAAAAGCTTTGTTTAAACTTGAGCATAATCAAATTATCTATGTTATGTATGTGAGATAAAAGCCACTGTTCGTTAGTATAAATGATAAATAAGAAGATGTTGTATGAGTGCCAATGAGACAACTATCCATCCAAGTCACAATGTGTGAAAAGTAAACAATTTATAGGTCAAAGCCTTCAACACAGAGCCTTGGCTCACACTGAACAGCAAGCTGTAAAGGGCCCCAAAATGACAAGTGTAAAACAATTCATGTTGAAAGTATACTGTTAACAGAGAGATACATGTTGGTCTTGCCTCTGTAACCTTATCACAAATTGTTACTATATATAGCTATTGTCATGATAGTTGGATGTCACCCTCACTAGAAAAAAACACATCTTAACCTTGCTTCAGCAACAATTCACAGGCAAGACCAAATAGTTTAAGAGCAGAATCAAGAAACACATCAACAAATAAATGGGGAATGTGTCCATGGGACACAGATGATGCCCCCGCTTGGTATCATATAAAGTTATAAAGGGACATAGCAAAGTGACACTACCCAAATTTGTACTTGATCTGAGTTTTGTGGTAATAAGTACTGTATACAAGTTTCATAACATTTAGTTGAGGCAAACTTTAGAGAACGGAAAGAAAAATTCAGCAATTTTTCCATTTGTAAAGGGGCATAACTCTAGAGCGGTAACAGTGACACCACCAAAATTCAAACTTGATCTATATTATGTGGTAATAAGCATTGTGTATAAGTTTCATTAACATTTGGTTGAGGCAAACTAAAGTTGGAGAACAGAAACAAAAAATTCAGCAATTTTTCCATTTATAAAGGGGCATAACTCTAGAACGGTAAAAGTGACGCCACCAAAATTCAAACTTGATCTGTGTTTTGTGGTAATAGGCATTGTGTATGAGTTTCATAACATTTGGTAGAGGCAAACTGAAGTTAGAGAACGGAAACCCACTTTGGGACGTATGGACGGACGTACAGACAGACAAGGTTAAAACTTAATGCCCCTCCACTACAGCGGGGGCATAATAAAAAACTTTGTTAAATTTCAATAAAATGACACATTTAGGCCAATTAAAATTAATTGATAGATTTTCATCCCCGCCCGCCCCTCTGAAATCGTCCCGCCCCGATTTTTTTTATTTTAACAAATTTACGATTTCCGGATTTTGTTCATTTCCGTTACCGGAAACCACCGATAATTTCGTTTCATTCATAACTTCCTGTAGCAAATTTCGGTTTTTGTATTTCTTCGAGTAATTTAACCAAAATAATTAAGTCGAAATATTCTGCTGCTCTATGATGACAGCATTATCTTCCGAGAAAAGAGATTGCTTACGAGAAGGGCATGAAATATTCGGGTTACGAGTGACAGGCGGTGTCCAAGAACACAAATTGCGGTCAGTTATTAGAAACCTGTGGATTTTTTTATTTATACAATGACTTTGTGTCAGGAAATTTGGACTGTGAATGATATCCAAAGCACAAGAATCGTGGAACACATTGCTGCAATAAAAAACATGACTGGAATAAAGAAATTGACACAAGCACGAACTTGTGCGATCTAAGACCATATATTGAGTACAAAAAAGACGGCCAATGTAATGCTATGTCTTAAAACTTTTCCAGATACACAGGGTTATCTGTACTCAGAGTAAATTTTGAGGTGAAAATGCAGCCCTTGTAGCCAAAGGGTCAACATGAACCTTAAAAGCACAAACCATAATATTTGCAACATAGTTTGAGTTTTTATTTCACTCTGTACTCACCGCAATACTTGTAATGGGCACTACAAAGTACTACTTAGAAAGCAAAATAAATTTGATGTAGGTAGTCTAAAAGAGAACATTTCTCCACCTTTTTGCTATTTACTAAAAAATGGTTTCTAAAGTGGCAATCACATGTAGAACAGTGGTTGCCAATCCGAAATCTTTATTAAGACTTTGAAAATTTATGTAGAATTCCTTATATATACATGATATAAGCTTAATATTACCCTTGCATATGCACAGTCTGATTGAAACCAGCCCCCAATATCTACAAAGGCAAATGGAAAGTGGGGGCTGGTTTTAATCAGACTGGCATATGAAGAACACGTCACAAAAGGGTTTCGGAGGAAATAAAAATTAAAAAATAAAATCCTCCCACCCGCCCCATTTTTTTCAAAAATTTGGATGAAAATCTACTAATTAATTTTAGTTGGCCTTATTTACAGATGATATTACTCTAGAAATGTTCAACATTGACATCAAAAACCTGAGCATATAGGAATTGGAGAAGACACTCAAACAAAGATTCTTCACTTGTATAACTATAAGTTAAAATGAACCATATTCAGGAGCTGAATCAGCGGTGGGCACTGAGCCACTTGGGGCATGTGCACTCCTGACAGAGAATTACATGTCAGTAATAAATTGTAACATACATTTGTACATGATTTCACATTTTTTATCGCTTCTTACAAAACAAACTCTGTTGACACAGATTTGTTTCACCTTTAAGTTTTTGTAATTTTGATAGTATACTGCAAATGTTGGAATTAAAACTATATTGGGAATGTGTCCATGGGACACTGATGATATCCCTGCTTGCATATAACGTTATAAAGGGACAATCACATAACTCAAGAACGGTAAAAGCGTCCTAACCAAATTCATATTTGATCTGATTTTTGTGGTAATAAGCATTGTGTATAAGTTTCATAAAATTTGGTTGAGGCAAACTTGTTAGAGAACGGAAACGAAAAATTCTGCAATTTTTCCATTTGTAAAGGCAGTCTTCACGCTGAACCACAGGCCCAGCAGCCCAGGCTTATTAAATTGCTCACGGGCCTTTAAAAATCATTTCTACAGGCCAACAGAATGTAACTAAACTTTTCCAAAATTTGAGTTCCGGGCCTGTAGATTTAAAAGTTCATTGTGAAGACTGTAAAGGGGGCATAACTCTAGGAAGGTAAAAGTGACGCCACCAAAATTCAAACTTGATCTGTATTTTGTGGTAATAGGCATTGAGTATAACTTTCATAACATTTGGTTGTATTAAGCATTGTGTATAAGTGTCATAACGTTTGGTTGCGGTAAAGTAAAGTTAGAGAATGGAAACCAATTTCGAGACGTAGGGACGGACGTACATAAAACTTAATGCACCCTCCGTTACAGCGGGGGCATAAAAAAACACGGATGGAAAAAAGATGAAAAGCAGATGAATATGTAGAGTAAGTCTTGCTATTCAAATCATTGAATATCCTAAAACTATTTGTACAGTTATGAGCCAAGGTAGCTTTGATTGGTATAATCATGCAAGATCCAAAAAGTATTTGGTACTTCTTTTGTGCATTTAAACAGCAATGCATTGCATATGCTCTTGGTCATACAAAGTCCACTTTCACATCACATCCTTAGACAATCAGTCTCAGTGATCCAAGTATTAAAAGTTTATAACTGAAGTTATTGATTGAAATGAGGCAGTTGCACAATGAACATGATCAAGATTCTATTAGCTGAGTCTAGAAGTTATAATTGTATTACAAAAAGGAATTAAATTAACAACCTATATGTAATATACATTTCTTTATTTCTTACCAATAAATATGAAACAATAGTATATTCGATTAAATCTGTATCAATTACAGTGCCTTTATATCTATGTAAAGAGCATTTGAAGAGTGCCCTAAAAGTGTAGTCCTCCGCGCAAAGGGAGCTGACAGAGCTCCAGATAAGAATTCACAAATTGGGGTTTTTACCCATCATTTTTTTATGTAATTGGGTGATAGAGTTTTTTAATTGCATTATCAATTCCGATTCACCCCTCAAGCAAATATCAAATTGGGTTTTTCACCACCAAGCTCCTTAATGTATTGGGTTTTTTCATCAACACAATATTGAATATTTAGGCATGTTATAATCACATTATATCAACCCAAGATGTTTTTCCATCTTTAATATGTTTCTTTCTTTGTATATGTGCTAGCTGTTTTGTTTGGTTTATTCACTGACGAGCAATTGTACGTTTGATTTGTGTCCTGTTTTAAACATTCTGCCAGTTTTGTATTTTCTCGCAACTTATATAAACTGCAGCTGGTATCAATCACTAGTTGGACAGTAACTAATTACCTTTCGAGATCCTATATGATATCCTACCGTTAATTTGGGGTAGGTGTGGCTTAGTGTTAGGATTTTTATGTAATATATGTGAAATTTAGGTGCTGTAAGAAAGTTTTGCCAGTCCTTTCACCTATTTGCCAGATCTACTTTTTAATAAAAATAATAAGTAGTTCCCAGATTCAAGATATACCCCCAAAACCTTGACCAGGTTAAAAGGGTGGTTTAATTACGGACACCACATTCAACTTCAATTGACAAATAATTCTGCAACAACAAATAAATAAATAACACTTGCCAATAAGACAGCTATCTTAAGCATACAGAACAATTAGACCAAAATAAAGAAAATGTCAAGCTGCATTGACGTAAAAAAACGGATATGTGTATTCACTCATCATCTAAAAATGAAAAAATAATATATAAACTAAAATTATACCTGAATGTTTTTGTTTAATTTAATTCACATAAACCTGGGTTAAGTTGTCCCTTATTAGAACTTTTGGTTTCCGATGCTTTCCAACTACATAACATGTCATAATTAATTTGGATTTTCACTTTTTCCAACTGATTTCGTTCTTGAAGAAACCCCGTGTTTATCCTTCTAGCAATGCATAGGCGGATCCAGGGGGGGGGGGGGGGGGGGGGGGGGGGGGGGGGGCCTGGCCCCCCCTTTTGTGGGAAAAATTTGGTTGATTATATAGGGAATCACTGAAGCGTGACTGGAGCGGGGCCCCCCTTAGGTCAGTCAGCGGGCCCCCCCCCCTTTCAAAATGTTCTGGATCCGCCACTGCAATGTTCTCGTTAAGGTACGCAAACACGCCCGTGCGTTCAACGGACGCTTCATAAAACACTAGCTGAGTCTTGTTATCATCATAACTTGTCCTCAGCTATCAAAAAGAAGCTGAAAACATGCTTCTATTCAATATTTTTACCGGACATTTACTTTCGTTTTAATTCATTGTATGTTACGATAAGTCCCGGGCAATTCGAAAAAAACGCTAATTGGATAAACGCCGAGAAGATCGAAATGTTTTCATAAACACGTGTACCTTTTGAGCAACGGAAAATTCCAACAGGGACCCATTTCAGCTACTTGATGCAGGGCTATATTTTTAGAACGAAAGGAAATTTCCAATTATAAATATTATAAAAATAGATTTACGCGACGATTGTAACTAGATAAGGGTAAATAACGCAAACGATAGCGAATAAAAGCGTTAAGAACTCATGGTTTTGGCATATAATTGAGTTTTCCTTTGAATTAATTGGGTTATTGAACCCTTCAATGGGCAATTGCATTGGGTTTTTAATCATTTGTATTGCGTGGTCACGCAAATACGCAGCTTATCTGGAGCTCTGGGAGCTCTCAAAGTCACTTAGTGTAGCCAATCGCGCTTAGCGTGCCCTCTAAGAAAAAAATTACCCTGCCCTTTTCAAAAGCTGCAGGAAACACTGTAAGATGTGCAAATGCTATTTAAACTGCATACAAAATATCATTGACTTATCATGCATGCCATGGGTGGTTCATCTTAAACTGATCTAAGACCAAAAAAAAATCAAAGCACTGTAAGCGCTGTAGGCAGTTAACCAAAAACCAAGGCAAACGTAATTATGAAAACTGTGGCAATGTTGCTTCAATTTTTTTTTAAGATTTGAAAGAACAAACATTAAACATTCGTATATTGTACATTTATGTTCATTAAATGAATTGATTATTAAGGCAAATTAATTAATATTTCATCAAGGTTTTCAAAAGCAACTCGTATATCAATGTAAATGACTCACATCTTCACCCCCAAGTGCATGATGTTACTCCAAGTTTGGAATAAAATGACAGGTGATTATAAAACAGTTGGTCAATTATTCTCGGGCTTTACACTGGTTGAAAGATTTATATGTTTTCTTTAAAATGAGCCATAAATGAAAATTATTATAGGCCCAGAAATAATTTAATAAACAATTAAAGTAAATTCAATAATCTAGACTCATTTTTTTGATAAAAAAAAATTTATAATTAACAAGAAATAATTGTAACAAGATGCCGTTACGGTCGAAGTCTCCCAAACAAAGCCCCCATAATTCGTCATTCCCATGGTCTCCTGACATTGGGCAAAGTCCAGTTCATATTGGTTTGGTCTAGTAAAGTGATATGCATATGTGACACCAAGGAGATTGACCCTGTATGTCATTCAAATCTTTTTGAAATGATGAACAGGAATAAATATGGTTTAGGTGTGGGTATCTCGACCGTTTACAAGTTCTCAAACAGGAGGGGGTGGGTGACCCCAGGGACTCACCCTATATTTCATTTGATTTGTTATATTGTCCCATACATGAATACATATGGTTTAGAGGTGGAGATCTCGACCATTTCCAAGTTCTCAAACAGGAGGGGGTGGGGTGACCCCCGGGACTCTCCCTATATTTCATTTGATTTGTTATATTGTCCCATACATGAATACATATGGTTTAGGGGTGGGGATCTCGACCATTTCAAAGTTCTCAAACAGGAGGGGGTGGGGTGACCCCAGGGACTCCCCAAATATTTCATTTGATTTGTTATATTGTCCCAAACATGAATATATATGGTTTAGGGGTGGGGATCTTGACTGTTTACAAGTTCTCAAACAAGAGGGGGTGGGGTGTCCCCATGGACTCCCCCTATATTTGATTTGATTTGTGTTATTGTCCCATACATGAATATATATATGGTTTAGGGGTGGGGATGTCGACCATTTCCAAGTTCTCAAACAGGAGGGTGTGGTGACCCGAGGAACTCCCCATATATTTCATTTGATTTGTGATATTGTCCCATACCTGAATATATATGGTTTAGAGGTGGGGATCTTGACTGTTTACAAGTTCTCAAACAGGAGGGGCGTGGTTGTCCCCAGGTACTCCACCTATATTTCATTTGATTTGTTTTATTGTCCCATACATGAATATATATGGTTTAGGGGTGGGGATCTCAACCATTTCCAAGTTCTCAAACAGGAGGGGTTGGGGTGACCCCAGGGACTCCCAATATATTTCATTTGGTTTGTTATATTGTCCTATACATGAATATATATGGTTTAGGGGTGGGGATCTCGACCGTTTACAAGTTCTCAAACAGGAGGGGGTGGGGTGACCCCAGGGACTCACTCTATATTTCATTTTTGATTGGTTTTATTGTCCCATACATGAATATATATATTTAGGGGTGGGGATCTTGACCATTTCCAAGTTCTCAAACAGGAGGGGTGGGACGACACTGGGGACTCCCCCAAATTATTTTCATTGATTTCTTTTATTGTCCCATTCAAGTATATATATATTGTTTAGGGGTGGGGATCGCGACGGTTTACAAGATAAAAGTACATTTTCAAATTGAAGGGGGTAAGGATGACCCCCAGGGACTCACCTTATATTTTGGTTGATTTTTTTGTATTGTCCTGTTCTCATTACTGAAGACTGCATGTGTCTATCACCTACTGTTTTCGAGAAAAAGTCATTTGAAAATTAAAAAAAATAAAATCCCATAGGGTTCTATAGTAAACCCCTCCCTTCTTCAGGCCCCTCCAAATACCCCTAAATAGACCCCAATGCACAAACAAAAGATAAATGGCTCCGCTAGACATGTTAGTCTAATATTTTATGAAACCCTAAGTAAATCTGACAAACGGTCAAAGTTGTCTTCTTAGACGGTTTGAGTGGATTCGGTCCGACTTGTCTCGGGGACGAGTTGTCCACATTACTTAAAACATCCCATCAACGTCGATTTCTGCATCTGTTTTCCTGACCTCGTTTCATTCATCGTTTCATTCATAAATAACAACAACCTTATTTGGCAAGATAAGTTAGAAATTACCACCCATTTATATAACTTTATTTCCTCTATCATAGAGATTTGTTGTACATGATCAATATTCCTGCGCATTTTGCCATTTGGGAAATATAAACGACTTGTTATTACCGATTTTTGGCAATGAAATATTTCATACAATTGTTCTTTGACATCGTAGCCTAAAGCACAGGGGATAATAAACTACGTACGGATTTCTATTGAGCACTACTTCCTATGTGCAACTTCAAAAGTTTTGGGTAGTTCGACGATCATTTAAGGTTTTTCTGGTCATATTTTTTGTATTCCAGAAATAAAAGTATTAAAAAAATGTCCAATTAGTTATAAATAACATAATAGCCAGCTAGATAATAACATTGGCACGTATTTCAGCATTTATTGGGTAGAACACAAATCTAGGGTGCTCGCATAAGGCAGCTTAACTGCCTAAAAATATATATACATTTCTGTTTAGGGTTACCTGACCAGTCACCTACTATTGAGTGCAGACCCTGTCATTTTATTTCCGTCGTATTAAAAGTGAAGAATTAACTGAACTCATGTCAAAAGTGAAGTTAGGAGTAGCCAATAAATCAATTGCCTGATACATCTAAATGTTCACAATCATGAATATGACAGTTGTTTTAAGGAAACTCGCGACTTGTGTAATGAAATAAACACTTTGCTGCCATTTTTTCCAACCAATAACCAAGGGAAATAATCCTATCATTAAAAACACAGGTAAACCCGACCCATGGACAAGTTTAACCACGGTAAGACCGACTGCATGACTCAAAATCATGTTGCAAAAATAAAATAAAATGGAAGTACTGACCTTCCTGACCTATTTTTTTTAATAATGTATCCTTTACAAACAGAAATTTTTTGCTCTAGAAAATTATCTCACATTGGGGCTATCATTACCCTAAATGAGTTATTTTGACCAATTTGTGCGATTGTCCCCAACTTGATAAAAGCTTATAATGTAAACATGGCCATATTGTGAAAATACATGGATGGTACAAGCAGAATTCAAACCCTCAATCTCAGGATCTAAAGGCAGCACTCTTAACCGAATGAGCCAAAGAAGATCTTCCCTTTAGAACGCATCCAGTTAGACTACTTTATATCCCCAGTTATACAACAACCATATCTGTAAATTTTGTATAATTGCCAATGAGAACACTCATTAGTCACAATGTTAGTATTTATAGAGACCTAATGACATGGAAGTTAAAAACTATAGGTCGCCGTACGGCCTTCAACAATGACCAACACCCATACCGCATAGTCAAGTTATAAAAGGCCCCGAAAATTATGACAAATGAAATGTAAAACAATTCAAACGAGAAAACTAACGGCCTGATTTATGTATAATGAAGCCCTGTTTCCACGTGTTTGATACAAATATTTTTTGAGCTATTGAATTATGCTTTATTTCCCTTTTTCCCACTTGAAGTCCTTCAATCAATTTTTATAAATAGCATTGTCACAACCAAAAAATCCTGGTTTACTTTCGTTTTTAGAAAATGAATATTTGTAAAGTCGTGTAAACAGTTAAATTGGATAGACTTTTGTTTTTGTGCAGAATTACTTACAAATGGTCAAATTTAAAAAGAGCTGGTGGTAAAAATTCATCGTTTCTTCTTCTTGTGCTTGTCATATTGTCTTTTCAAGTTTATGACGTCTGAGATTTCCAATTTCAAGATGTCGGTTAATAATATTGCTTCTATCACTGCAAATTATTTGTAACCGCTTACAACATTTAAATGCACCTGCAAAAATATATGTCTTCAGAATTGATGAAAACGTTTGCTAGGCTGTTTTTTTTATTCGATAATAATAGTTTTACAACCAACAAATGTATTAAAAAGAGAAATGACAAATGCTATTATGTCAAATGATCCAATCGAAAATCGACACACGACTCACGTGGGTTTTATTCATTAGGGACTTTCTCGAAATTCGAGATGTCTCTGGTCACCCCGAAGCATTTCATCATTGGGGATTTTCTCAAACATCAGGTCTTTATAATGTTATTTATTTTTAAGATCAGTTGCAATTTCATAAATAGGTATAACAATTTTTAATTTCCAAATTTTTACTAAATCAGAAATAATCAATACAAAATGTGACTGACAATTTTTTTTTTAAATGCATGCCTCAAATTCTGTCAATTAGATTAAATTAGCATTTAAATTATTATATTTAAAATAGAGATGAACATAATGAAAAAAAGAAATGCCTGCTACCGCTATTAAATTTATGTATACATTGTATGACTGAAAAGTCCTCAGCATTATTAATACATGATACACGCGAAAATACGGCACAGTTTAGGCTGAATTTTTTACTATAATAGGGTTGTTTCTAGCATATATGTCGTTTATATGGGTCATTTTCAAAAAATGTCGAATTTTCAGTACACCCATGCTAAATTTTTTATTTCTAATGGAAATTTCAGTTGTAATTGTTTAAATGAAAGCTTGTAGGATTTATGATTCAGAACATTAATAATAAACACGATTTACATCTATTTTCATAAGATTAAAATGTATTTAAGTCCGATTTTTTGGTAATTTGTGTGCGTACAGTTTCAGAAAAACGCATTTCAAATGATTTGTTTCCGATTTTCTGATCGCCTTGATATCTGCAAAAGGGACTTTTTAAGAACGTTAATAATTACTCTAACGAAAAATCGTAGCTTCTTTATCATTATATGTAACATTTTATCTACGAACTTAATTCAATCCGCGTACATGAAGTTCATGTCCATCCTATTACCGCTACTTAAATCAGCCGTTAAATTATTCTCCCTATGAATATTGAATTAGTCAGTGTTGATTTCAAAAGTGCAAAGTAACATTTACATTTAACACAGCACGTTGCTTGAACGACAGTGTAGAGAAAAGAAATTTCAAGACATTTAGTGAAAAAAAATAGAGGGTACTTTTTTTCATTTCTATGCTGTTACCAACAATTTTGATTAATTACACCAAAAGTATACTTGTAAAAAGTGCAATAACGTGTTGGAAACCAAATTCACAACAGAAAAACATTATCACCTCACCACAGGGAGTAGTTATTTCACAACAGCATTCGAAAATGAAGAAATTTGTCTATCCTGTTATGTCTATCCTGTTACTATGGTTGCTATGGTTACAGTAACAGGATAGACAATTGTAGACAGAAACGTATTTAAAAAGTTTATCATAACATATAGTTGTAAACAGAATGAAATCTTTCGTTGTTTGAACTCATCTTAAGGTTATAACGTCTTAATCTTCCCAATTTAGCATTTGCAGGTGCAATACTGATATCGGTAACAGGATAGACAAAAAGGTAACAGGATAGAACTTTATATAGTGATATATCATTAACGTACGTTCCTGTTACCAATGAAATAAAGACAAAAGTAAACTAACATGTGAGGGATTTACTTGATGTTGGGTTTATTTGAAAGAGAGAAAAAATGCCGAACAATATGAATAGCTATCTTAGACTTACATTACTGGTGGTAATTTTTACAACCTTTGAAAACCAATTTTTAGAGGCATTTTTCAGTACAACCTGGAAAATTGGCAAATAATCTATTATTTTACAAAATGAATATATATAGAAGTTTATTCTCTTGAAAACCATCTAATTGGCTACGAAAAACAAGCTTAAAATTTTATCTAAACCTTTTTTTAATAACCCAAAATTTCTTTTGAAAATGGTAACAGGAGAGACAAGATATTGTACCACCTATCAAAAAATGTTTCAAGATATTCTTGTATGACATTATTAAGATTGCATCTTTTAATATGTTGTTCTATAAGTACTGTTTGTTTTGATTTGCTTATGTAGAGGGTGTTTTGAATAAGTAACTTTTAATAAATTTTTCAATTTCAAAATTCGACATTTTTTTTAAATGACCCATATATATATATCTCAATTATGAGACAAACAAACTATCTCATCAACGATTCTTTACAAGAAAAAATCAAGTTAAATTTGTTTCTATTTAGTATTACTCATTGAATTGAAACGAAACGAAAGGAATATATTAATATGTCAGAAATTTCATTAATTTAAGTTTTGATTCTTACGTTTTTCAGTTGACACAAAGTCATATATGGTCGTAAATTAGCCTAAGACTTAATGGAGGAGGCACGAAAAGTTCGAGCACGATTATCGTATTCGTACTAAAAAATCGACCAATTAAAATACTAGATTTTTTGTTTCGAGCGCAAATTTTATACTTCGAGTTCTGAGTAAAGTTTTATGACCGAGAGCCCTGGTCTCTCTCCTTTTGGAGTTCATGCGATTTAAAATGACATATTCTTTAACTGTAAACGTCATTTATTTATACTCAAAAGGACTAGAGCCCTTTGTCTGCACAATGCATGTGGTAAGAACATCTAAGACTATGAATATATGGAATCTTCATAGTACGTGTAGTAAATAACAATCAGATTACTGACATGTCTACACTGTTATCTATTGGTTTAAGTCTTGCTATGTGCCGGGAAGTAAATTTCTCTCGGGATTTGTGTAGATAATAGACATATCAAAATTATCCTGTTACCCATAACAGTTTTGCATTTTGTGTGTGCTAAACTGCGAGGATAAAGACAAAGATAAAGACATTGTAGCATTTTATAGAGTTGAAATAACCGGACATTTGATTATGTGTAAAATATATGTATGTATATATATACTTTTGAAGACGATTCAGTCAAATATTGTCCATCCTGTTACTGTAACCGTGGTAACCGGATATATAGACCAATTCATTTATTCATGTATGCTGTTGTGAAATAACTACTCCCTTGTTTGCAATGATAACGTTTTCTTGTGCATTCCTAGTTCCCTACACGCAATTTTACTATTTACAAGTACAATATTGTAATTAATGAATTTGCTGGTAACAACGAAGACAGGATAAACTTAAAATTTTCACCAAATGTCTTGAATTTGTCTCATCAAACAGAGCTTTTTTTCTACAAAAATGGGAAACGTATATATAATTCTATTGTTTCGGGTCATACAAAGTCTTACTTTGCGAAGAATCAAACTGATTCCCACAACAAATACACCGAAGACAATATAATCAAAATGATTGACAACCAATTTGTTGAGTGTGGTTTGGTGGATTGATATCTCAGCAGACCATCTGTATTTCAAGGAATAGCTAAGTGTTACCTACAACTGACCAACTTGTTACCGTACTCATATAAATCAGAATTCAAACAGAACCTTCTCAAAAGACAAAAGAAAGACAAAAATATCATACAAAGGTCTTTAATTTCACTTTAAGATTATTGATGAATGACACAGATGGACGATTTCAAGCTAGAATCAATGATAAACGGGATGGGTTAAACTTTCCCAGTGTCAACAGTCTTCCCATTTCCCAGCATTAACATACCCTCTTTTTCTTCGTATGGTGTTTTCATATTTCAGTTAATACGCTACGCTCGTGGATGTTTACGTTATACTCACATCAATAATAGGTGTGTACTCCTTACGAAAAAACTGCTCTAACACAGTTAAGAGGAAGAACGACTGAAATACATGTTTTACGGTTACTATCGCGAATTGGTTGACCGATACGGCATGCCTGTGTCTCAACTCACTACCGATCTTAGATCTTCAGATACCAGTATAGTCGTTTGATCAGTAAGTTTAACGATTGTGTCCTATTCCCGATTGTTACATTTTGAATGAGTGTTAATTCGCAAGGCCGTTGATATGTATATACACAGCAGGAGACGCTTACCAGGCCTTGCGATCACGAAAAGTTCGAGCACGATTATCGTATTCGTACTAAAAAATCGACCAATTAAAATACTAGATTTTGTGTTTCGAGCGCAAATTTTATACTTCGAGTTCTGAGTAAAGTTTTATGACCGAGAGCCCTGGTCTCTCTCCTTTTGGAGTTCATGCGAATTAAAATGACATATTCTTTAACTGTAAACGTCATTTATTTATACTCAAAAGGACTAGTGCCCTTTGTCTGCACAATGCATGTGGTAAGAACATCTAAGACTATGAATATATGGAATCTTCATACGTGTAGTAAATAACAATCAGATTACTGACGTGTCTACACTGTTATCTATTGGTTTAAGTCTTGCTATGTGCCGGGAAGTAAATTTCTCTCGGGATTTGTGTAGATAATAGACATATCAAAATTAAGACAAAACCAATATTTTTTCCAATACCCCAATTAAGATATCAAAGTTCAAGGGACTCTGACCTGACGAAGCAACTTTGAAACTGTAACATTTTTGACTTGGAATTGAATGAAAATAACGCTTTGTAAATTTCATGCAACCTACATTTCTGGAATGACCTTAATCAGAAACGATCAAAACCAAACATTTGAAAGACCAGAATGTATAAATATTAAATACCCGAATATGTTAAGAGCTATATGACAAAAAGGGATCTATAAAGATCAACTTTGTCTGAGGGAGTTGGAATCATATTTTCTTATTGAAACATGTATTTTAATTTTTTTTTTTAAAACATTTCATTTTGTGATTAGCTTTCAAATTTGATTTGTTTTCTGGTGTTGATTAAAAGATCCAAATAAATTGTCACTATTTTCATGTTTATTTTGGTAAATTGAATAAACAAGTCAGAACAATATAAAAGAGGGACGAAAGATACCAGAGGGACTGTCAAACTCATAGATCGAAAACAAACTGACAACGCCATGGCCAAAAATAAAAAAACAAACAGACAAATAATAGTACAGATGACACAACATAGAAAACTAAAGACTAAGCAACACGAACCCCACCAAAAACTGGGGGTGATCTCAGGTGCTCCGGAAGGGTAAGCAGATCCTGATCCACATGTGGCACATATGTGTATTTTGTGTTATGTTTTTATTATTATAATCTATATAAGAATGAAAATAAGAATATTTTATTGGCTTCTAATTCAAAATTATAGGATTGCTACCAAAATGTCTCAATAGACATTGGGTATTAAACATAAACACACAAGACTGAAGAACACATACATATATATGAATTTAAATATTGCTTCATCTGACAGTCATATTTATAAAAGATGGAATAATTTCACTAATTTAAGGAAGTAATTGTTCTCTAAATTTGTTTAGTGTTGTAAATATTTTCTAAATATGAAATACGATCCTAAACAAACAAATTAAGCTGTAACAACCCATTTCATTGGCAGAAATATACAGATACAACAATAATCGTATTTTGCATGTAAATTGACATATGCCTTTACATATTGTTTTTTCTTTAATGGTCATTCTTAAGAATGTTACTGCTGAATATGCAAGTTCGGTGTTTGATGTAGTTCACAGACCTGGTCTTCTATTTCAATTTATAAATCATGTTTAACGTGCTGCAGTAAGTGTCATGTTTATGACATAATGAAATATAGTAGCTAGGGTAACACAATAACAATATAATTGATATCTCTAGCCTCTCTTTTAAAAGATTTATCAGAATTTTCAAATACGTTCACCAACAATAAACATTTATATTTCTTTTAAACTTTATCTAACAGCGACTTCAGCATTTCATCATTTTCCAGTATATATCCAGCATTCTTCACTAACAGTTGTTGATGTTTAGTCTTCGTTTCTATTTCCTCAGCTGATATTACCTAAAATGAAATGCAAACCTCATATAAAACAGTATTATCACCCAAGAAAGAATCTTTTGTGAATGGAATTCCTTTCTAGAGTTAGTTCCGAAAAGTAGAACAATAAGTCAATGGATATTCCCGTTGTTTTATTATACATTAATAAACACCAAACTTCTTTAAAATATATCGATGTTAAATGCGGAGTACAGTGTACATATAACGGCTCCTTGTACCCCACTCGAACACGGACTGGACTCATGCACTCTTCTTTACTCAACTAAATGTTCAAGTTAATGATCACTATAGTCGAGACAGGGGAGGTTTAATCAGATACAAGAATAATCGACTGATCTGTAAAATTGCCGATTGTCACATGTTGAGTGATTAAAGATTCGGATGGCGTCTGATGAATGCATACCACGAGACGTTTACCCTGTCGACGTACCCGGTCGCACTCCTTTTGGAGTTTCCATAAGTTTTGTGTTTTACCTTGATTTGTATCTTTTTAATTTATTTATGAGATTTGAAAGTCGGTAAAGTACTAGAATCAGGTCTACCTAACTAACCAGAACACACCCTCTATGTACTATTTACTTGATGGTATGATGGATTATTATTTTTATCATTTACTTTTCTTTCTATCTATAATGTAGCTGTATATATAGCAATAATTGTAATGACTTTGTGTGCGTGTTTGTACTGTATTAATATAGCAAATATAACACCAGACAAAATTTGCTTTCTAACATTGGACTAATTACATGACCTTTTTGCAAATGTATAACGAAACGCGCGTCTTGCGTATTACATTTTAAACCTGGTACCCTTTGTTAGCTATTATTCGTATGTTTCTCTGTCCTATATGTTCTCCCATTTATTTGTATTGTAGTCCTGTCATGTAATGTTGTCATTTTAATGTTATATTTAACATTGCCATAAAAGCGGGAGGTTTGGCTAGCCACACAACCAGGGTCAACCCACCATTTTTTGTCTTAAAATGTCCTGTACCAAGTCAGGAAAATGGCCATCGTTATATTACAGTTCGTTTCTGTGTGTGTTACATTTTAATGTGGTGTTTCTGTTGTGTCGTAGTTCTCTTATATTTGATGTGTTTCCCTCAGTTTTAGTTTGTAAACCGGATTTGTTTTTTTCTCAATCGATTTTTGAATTTCGAACAGCGGTATACTACTGTTGCCTTTATGTATAACTATTCTTACCCTGTCGACGCACCCGGTCTCGCTCCTTTTTGGAGTTCATGCGTTTCCCTCAGTTTTTGTTTGTTACCCTATTTTGTAACTTCCTAATCGATTTACGATATTTGACGATCCATTTAAATATAATTTGAATTTTTCTATGAGTAGTGTTTTACATTTATTGAGCCACTTTTCTATCATATCAATATTTTATATACCATGAATTACTTTAATCTTCAATTTAAAACCGGAAAACCAGCAATTTCAAAGAATACCTCTACCTTATAAGTCAGTAGTCGTAAAAATTCATTTGACCCAATTTCAAATCTCGCCATTATTCTCACATCCGTTCCTGCATACCCTGTTGTTACAAGTCCTTCCCAAACGTGTTTACTCGTTTCTTCAAGATGCGTCCATCCTTTACATGATACTGCAGCAACGTCCACAGAATCAGGTATTTCAATAGAAAAATAAATATCTGTTTTGGCTGACAGTATTCCAGATTTAGGCGAAAATACGCCAATGTTGTTGATATGATCAAGGCATAGTTCTGGATATGGAGACCATCGTAAGGAAGGGTTAGTTACGGATACTAAACCATTATACAAACATTTAGAATCAGTTTCTCCAGCACCAGAAAATAACGATAACAAATATTCTCCTTTTCTAGGCAGATTTATGCGAATGATAATTAAAGAAGCGTTATATGTAATGAAAACATGTCGGATCATGTTATGAAAACATGACGTAATTATATGAAGACGAGGCTCAATATGACCACCACTATAATTCTGCAGACGCAAAGTTACCTCTCCTGAAGATGTGCTTTTGATAATTCCATTTACACAATCTGTGAACCTGATTCTTTCTCGTCTTCCGTCTTTTGTTATCCCAAGTTTCCCATCTTCAACAAGCGGTGGCATGCAATTACATGATGGTTCATTTAGGAAATGAATAAGATACGAACACACCGATGCATTATGTGATAGTAAAATTGTCTCTTTTTTTAAAATGTTGAATAGGACAAGACCTTTAAACGGGCTGCTTATTCTGTATGTTATTGAATCTGTGTCATACCAGAAGAAAACAAAACGTCTTGATATTGGTTCGTCGGAAGTAGACGTAGTGTCTATGCTGAAGTCATACATGTAGTCATCTTTGGTACGTTTGAACTTGATAAGTACTGAACTATCAGATGTGGTTATTTCTGAATCTCTGTGAGAGAGTGGAACAAGACCACAAATACTTGTATCAACCCCAGGTCCCCATTCGAAACGCAAAACATTTCTCGGAAATCCGCAAACATCTTTACAATCGGGTATGTTTTTGTTGTCGAATGATGCCAAAATGTCAAAGCAGCATACCATTACATATATACTAGAGGATTCTGTATCCATAGCATAGATTTTAAGCACTCCATTCTGGGCTGTTTTTAACTTGACCGCGGTTTCGCTTTTGTCAACGTCGGTATCAACAAACGTCCAGGATTTTTCAGGCGTGTCAAGACAATCACCGCTATAAGAGCAAAATCGTGCTGCAAATTGTATCTTCTTATTAGACGGAAAAGATATTTTAAAAGTTTTCAAACTATTTGATGTCATATCTACGTGAAAAGTGTGAGATGTTTTCAATGTCAGTTTCAGATCATAAAAGAAAGGTGTAAGGAAAACCATATTTTGCCATTCTTCGTAGTTAACTGGTCGCCATAGAAGTTGCCAATAAGATTTGTTTGGAAAACAGTAATAAACAAATTCAGTTGGATTAACCAAAAAATGTTTGTCCATTTGTTTACGGAAAAGAAAATCAACAGTATTTATTTTTCTGAATGAAGAACCAATCATAATACAGTTTTTAGACTCCCACAATTTCTTATCTACTGGATGAGGGTCGATCAACATCCATTTGTTTTCATATAATACTGCTAGCCACTGACTCACAACTGACCAATCCACTTTTTTCTCTTTCGGAATAGTTCTTAGATATCCATGAATCGTCATGCATGGAATACTTACAACACTGGAATGAATATAATTATATATCTATAATTCATTTGGGGGTGTATGTGTATATGCGTGTGTGTTTATTTTCATATGCTCTGTACTATTATGAATAATGGAAATAAAACTACATTATCATACAAGGGCGTAGGAGCAATTCCCTCCACACTTTTTGGCAAAACAAATTTATTGAAAACAAAAATGAAAATGATAAGGGACACTGACTAACGTCTCGTCTAATATATAGATGTGTTGTTTTTTATGCTTGTCACTCTCAGAGGTTTGCCTTTCCCCTTTCTTTGTAGTCTTCTCCTACGCCACTGTAATATATTATATATTTATTATCATATACATGTTTGAGAGGCGTAGACGTGCTGTAAACATTTTTTGTTTTGTTTTTTTGATAATTGTATATACCATATGTCTAATTTTTTTTGGGTTCGAGTAAAGTTTTCAAAAAGTAGTCAATGTCCCCTTGATATATTCCGCCTCTTTTTAAAGAAATAATGTAACTAAACAAGACCAAAAATATAGCTTTACACGGTATAGGAATCAGAGCTTTACATGAAGGAGATACATTCCTGAAGATGATCTTTTAAGTTAGGTCTGGTATCTTTGATGATGTTTTTTTTACCATTTATTTTATAACAGAAAGTTGTATTAACATTATATCCGTATGGTATGTCTGAACTACTGGGCTGTTGTTGTATCAAATTTTCAATCTATTGAAATATGGATATGCAACGAAAGTTTTGAACGAAGACGTATGCCGTTAATTCCATGGTAACCGATTGGATGCTATTGACAACAACGTCACACAATCGCAGTCAACGTTTCCGGAAATTTTAAATATATATTCGAATCATTTCACTTGTATTGCATTAGAATTGGATAACATTTTTGGATTTGACCTTGGAAACTCGTCAAACACAGCACTGGTATTCCTTAATTTGACGGACACACGTGCAGTTTCTACTGGTTACGCAGAGCAGAGTCGGAAAAACGGATATTTGCGACAGTCAAATCCTCAATCATGTCAATTGACAATGACAACTATTCAAATACATAACGGTTAATCCTATTACAATGCAATACAAGTAAAATGTTAAAATATAGATTTGAAATATCCCAGAAACGTTGACGTTGTTGCCAATTACTCAAAATGGTCAACCGTCGAATTGATGCGTCGCTGGGTAAACTCAATTGGCGACAGTAAAACCTATATTTTACTTAGGCTACGCTTAAAATGCAATACAGTTATCTATTAAATAGTCTATCTCTTTGCCTTTTTGATCAGTGTTAATATACTGGTATCACATATGTCTAATGATTGGTTTTTTTTGTGTGTCGACGAGGTCGATGACGTATACCCCGTTGCGTGTTGCTATGGCAACTGAATTTGCAACACAACCATGTTTATTTTACTAGGGTCAAGTTAAAATACAATACAGTTATCTCCTAAATAGTCTTTCTCTTTACATTTTTGCTCAATTTAAGGTAACTGATATTGCAGGAACCCTTCTGTTTTTGTCGTAGTGACCATTGACAACTACTTCACGTCTGTTTAAATTCATATTTTCTTTGATATATAAAAGGGGAAGAATTTTATATTCACCTGCAAAGATATTGAAATATCTCCACATAAATATCGGTCTCTTCATCTTTAATATGTATACCAAGATGTTTAGCATCAATTTCTATTTGTTCCCTAGAAGTGAATGACGTCACGACATCGAAGATCAATCGAAGTTTGTCGTAAGATGTAACCTCCTGTTTCAAACGGCTTTCGAAATTGGCAAGTGGTATACTCGAACACATCTAAAAATGAACATGTAAATGCATTATATTAAAATAAACATTAAATGTAATCTAACTGAATGCACGAGGGCCTTGACTAAGTGATATTATATCATACTTTGATATTAATGTAACACGCTGTTCATCTGTATTTTGGTATCCCATAGCTGCTCTAGTACTTGCCATGAAAGTCCCAAGCTGACAGTAAAGTCGATATTGAGAATACCATAGCTGTGATAACAGTGACTGTGAAGTTAAAATTCTGACGGTAAATGAGTAAAATTCATTATGGGAGTGGGACACGTTATGGAAGGATGACTTTTAAAGAAAGTTTAATGTTCTGTGTGTTGTTAACAAAAAGTATGATACAGACAAAGGTTTGCACAGCGCGTTTTTCTGAAATTACCTTCAACCGGCGCGCTAGAGACCGAACTATTGGAAAGCGAACAGTTTTTGTATTTGTTCTTTGTATTTTGAATAGTTTTATTTTGTTTGTACAATTTTTATTTATTTTTTCAATACATCAGCCTTAATTATCTTAGTGTATTGTTAGAGATAATTTAACTTACATAATGTTCTGATGTATTTTGTAAACTGTTCTTGTTAGACTGACCTGTTAGTTGTGCGGGATGTATAGATACACAGTCACGTCAGGTCTCGCCTATGACGTTAAAATAAACAAATTAAAAGCATAGGTAAAGGTTATGGATGGGGTTTTACAGAATAGAGAATAATGTGCAAAAAATATAAAGAATAGAGAAAAATGGACCAAAAAATAAAGAATAAAGAATAATGCGGTGCTAAAATATAAAGAATAGAGAATAATGGGGAAAAAGTATAAAGAATAGAGAATAATGGGGAAAAAGTATAAAGAATAGAGAAAAATGGCCTACCAAATTAAAGAATACAGAAATGAAGGACCCCCATCCAGACCCTCATATAAGAGTGAGACAGACTCTATAGACGCGAAAGAACCCGTTGAACAGCGTATTTTCAGTTTTCCGGTGCATGTTTTACTACGAGATGTTTGAATAAATAACACGTCCATTTGGTTACGTAGGATGACGCCATACACAATGTCCGAATGCGGATATAAATAAAATGAGATATGGGTTTAAAGTGTCGATTCCAAATAGAGACGGAAGATATCAAGGAGACCAAGAATGTATATATTAGTTATAAATCCTCGAAGGAGATATTCAAAACGCATAAGTCGAGAGAACTGATAACGCCATGGGAAAAAACCCGGAAAACGACAAAAATCCAAACAAGTCCACAAAACATTACATAGAAAACGAAAGACTGAGCAACACGAAACCCACCTTAATTGATTGGAACTGAAATGACTGTCATACAAGCGAGAGGTTCGATGCATCTAGTTAAATGAATAAAATTAACTGTTCCATATACACCTAGTTCAACAAATGAAAATGCCTGTACCATCTACACCTAGTTCAACGAATGAAAGTAGCTGACCCTAAAGTCAGTATAATGAAAGTCAACCGTCAATTTCTCTAATGAGGCTCGTTTGTGATGATTTCCCCCTAACTAAGCTTGATATATGTAGATATATATATATATATATATAAGCAAGTCTAAAAGGGTACAACATCACCAACAATATAAAATCATGAACAAATGTTAAATATTTCGGATAACTAATATCCTTCATCAGTAAGATGTCAAATGATTCTTATCCTGACATTTGGTAGTCAAACTGAAATAATAATCTTGATCGTTATACAAATTATCACGAATCAATACGCTGGTAAATGTTTTCAATATTGATGTTTGGGAAGAAAAATAAATTCCTTAAAACTGTACGAGTCCTGTACTGAAGCCCGAGTTACAGGAAACAAGTGATGGTAGGGGCTTATTCTATGTTTTTTTCATTAATGCCCTCTGGGGAAACTGTCTTAAACTTTCTTATCCAAACACTTTCCCGAGCAAGTCTGTCGGCCCTTGACCAACCCTCGTTGTGGTCTATGATAGTGATGGTAAGGTTTTTGAGATAATCTTTTTGTGTGCAGAAAATAACATATTAAATAGAAAATAATATGGTATGGAAGCTTAAAGATCGACATTCCGTGTGGACGAAATGCGGACTCAATCTGTAGATATAAATAGAAAAATCCTCTCAATATACATGTACAACATCATAGCAAAAAAAATCATGAAAAATGTTTCGGGAGGAATGAATGAAAGACATATTTTGTGTCAATTTTGTCTTCAAACCTTTGTAGTAAAAACACTAACGGTACCTTTATTTATGCACCAGATGCGCATTTCGGAAATTAATGTCTCTTCAGTGATGCTATAGACCGAAAAATTTAAAATCCAAAACCTAATAAAAACGTTGGAATAGCTGATAAAAACGAAAAGGACCTAAAGTCCCTGTAACATGTTTTATCGTGAATACAGAACTGAATATAATTTGATACATTTTATTTACCTTCGTTCCATTGGTATGGTCATCGTAACTTATATCCCAGCGATATGGTATTGGTAGTGGCATTCCATCATTAAATCGAGGAACATCACAATCTTTTCTTCCCAGGATGCTATTTTGTGCTGACTCTAACACATTCGGAGAAGGGTGGAGCAAAAATAATTCCTTCTGTATAAGTGGTTTATATTTTTCAAAGGCAGTTGGTATTAAATGTTCATCAAACTTTGATTTTAAAACATGTTTTTCTTCTTTTTCTTTACTGGAATTACCATTTAGGTCATTCGTTTGAGGAAGTTCATCTTCAATTTTTGTTTCTAAATTTATTACATCATTTTGCAATTTATCGTTTTCGCTGCCAGTTATCGCATTATTTTGTGTTCGGTCGTTTTCTGTGCATTGGTCTCTTGCCATTTTAGTGGAAAATGGAGGGATGTTAGCAATGCCCTCTACATTCGAAATCTCGTTGCAATCTTCTTGTATATCTGCAGAATTGCTGAATTGAGAATGTGAGGAGAGTATTTCCGGTTCAGCGTCTGATTCATTTTCTGAATGACCTTTTAGTCCTCGGAAAATAATTTCACATGCTCTTCTGTCATTCTGGTTTCCTGTTACTTTGTCTTGCAATTCTGTACATTTATTTGAAGAAATAGAGTTTTTTCCTTCACACTCAGAAGTAATAGGCTGAAATAATTAAAAGGGTTAGTTTACCGTTTCACAACCATGTTTGGTCAATGTCAGATTAGATATGTTATAAAAAATTTCCGCTCTCGTTTTACAACCGTGTTTACACAATGTCAGATCAAGGTACAATTCTGACGAAACCTCAAATAAGATCGAGATATAATTTGGCAAGATATTTTGAGTAACAGGACTGTCGGTTAGTTCCTGTCATTGCATTTGATTCGTTTCTTTTAAGAAAATGTCACCAAGGCCAAGACAATATTTACTGTTTATGTGAGCTGAAGATTAAATCTCTTGTTTTTAGATGAACTGTCAGATATCTTCCTTTGATTTATTTATACAATAATTACATACAAATATTTTATTTGGTTTATATACTATCAAGTTCAAAATAAGATATTTTATAGCTCATGTACAAGGACAACAATATACAATGGTTTTAGTTAAAGGTGACTTCTAGTCCGAAGCTTTTATAAAAAGCATGTTCAGAATTGAGTTTAAGAAAATCTGAATTAAATATTAGGGGACGATCATTTGATATCCATAGGGATTGAAAATGAATATTTTGGCCTGGTATGAACTAAAAAATTATAAATATCCAAGATAGGATAAAAATGAATCATTGAATCTGTGCAACAAATTATATGAAATTACTGTGTGTACTCTGTGTGAAAGTGGATACAAATGAACCGTAGTAATTAAAAAAATATATCTTATAAGTACAAGTGCTTTATTTTGAAACTGGGAATTTTTCACAAGCAAATACCTCAATAGTACATGTCTGTTGATTTGAACTTTTTCCATGTATTTAGTAAATAAAAAAAATAGTAGTGCAAATGAAACTAGATGTGTCGGAACGACACGAATGACCCCGCTCGCAAATAAAAGCTTGAAGCCATTTTAAGCAGTGGAAATTTGAGAATGAAAGTCCGTATAATTGTTATTTTCACGAAATTTTTAAAGTCCAAAGCCTGTAATTTCGTCAAATATCAATGGAGCGGTACCAAAAATAAACCCAACCTGTAAATCATCATAGTAGACTCACTTACTTAAAAGCAGCTCAATATGTGATGGCGTTTAGAAAAAAAGTCCGTATAACTGTTATTTTCACAAAAATATCAAGTCCAAAGCGGTTATTTCGGCTAAAATCAGCCGAGCGGAACCTATTGTAAACTCAATCTGTTGACTTGACTTGTTCTTGTATTGTTATGAATCACATTTTATGACCAAACTCAGTAAAGACCCGTCTAAATTGCATTTAATTGATAAATTCAACAACACTTACCGTTATCTTGATGATATTTTTTCGTTAAATAATTAAGAATTTTCTAAATATACTGCCGAAATTTACCAAAAGGTACTTACTTTAAATAAATCAAATATAAACAGTAATAACTGTCCTTTTCTAGATTCAGATATTTCAGTTTTACACGGGAAACTCTACACTGAAATAAAAGGGAGGATTTTTCGTTCCCTAATGTTAATTTTCCTTTTTAGGACGGTGATGTACCTTTGGCACCATCGTACGGCGTTTATATATCACAACTCGTTCGCTATGCCCGTGTCTGTTGTGACGTTTTGGATTTCAATGAACGTTATCTATGTATTACTGGTAAATTATTAAGTCAGGGATTTCGTTACCACAAATTATTTAAAACTTTTACTAAATTCTTCCATAGATATAAAGATTTGGTTTTGAAGTTTGGTTGTACCTGTAGAAAACTTATTTCAAACGGGGTAGCACATCCTAATTTTTACGGAGATGTTGTTTACTGAGCCCGGAAATTTAAAAACGATCCGGGTAAACTTGATCCTTTAAAAAAACTTATTCTAAAAGGTTACCAATTCAACACTGCAATTAGATCTTTGAATGTTGTTTTTATTGGTATTAATATTGATTTTGTTATCAGTAATTTAAAATCAAACTAAATATTATTTGTATATACATATGCACATTCATGGCTCTACAATCTGCCGATACCTGTATCTTGGCATTGCACAAGGTCATGTTTTTCTCTGACTGTTAATGACGTCTTTACACTAAATCCATTGGATGTTGGATGTGTACTGATTGATATTTTAGTCTTAGATGCATGATTTTTTTATTAGTTGTTATTGGCTTTGGACTAGCTGTCAGTAACTGCGAGTACTCTCAGATGTGTACTTAGTGTCTTTTTGTTTTGGGGATGCATAAGTACCCTGCCACGTCCACTCTGTGTTTTTGTTATATGTATTACTGTTTGTATCCATCTGCAGAGTTAAGCTTTTTCGACTGATTTTTACAGTTTTTTCTTATGTTGTACTGTTACACCACTGTCCCAGGTTAGGGGGAGGGTTGGGCGCCCGCTAACATGTTTAACCTCGCCACATTCTGTATGTGCCTGTCCCAAGTCAGAAACTTGTAAGTCAGTGGTTGTTTTTGTTGTTTTTGTTTCTGTATAGCATATTTGTTGTTCGTTAATTGTTTTTTATAGTTTGTTCTTGTGCTGTTTCATCACTGTCCCAGGTAAGGGGAGGGTTGGGCGCCCGCTAACATGCTTAACCCCGCCACATTCTGTATGTGCCTGTCCCAAGTCAGAAACCTGTAAGTCAGTGGTTGTTTTTGTTGTTTTTGTTTCTGTATAGCATATTTGTTGTTCGTTTATTGTTTTTTATAGTTTGTTCTTGTGCTGTTTCATCACTGTCCCAGGTTATAGGGGAAGGGTTGGGCGCCCGCCAAACATGTTTAACCCCGCCACATTCTGTAGTGCCTGTCCCAAGTCAGGAACCTGTTATTCAGTGGTTGTCATTTGTTTCTGTGTATCATATTTGTTTTTCGTTCATTATTTTGTACATAAATGAGGCCGTTAGTTTTCCCGTTTGAATTGTTTTACATTTGTCATTTCGTGGCCTTTTATAGCTGACTATGCGGTATGGGTTTTGCTCATTGTTGAAGGCCGTTCGGTGACCTATGGGTGTTAATTTCTGTGTCATTTGGTCTCTTGTAGAGAGTTGTCTCGTTGGCAATTATACCACATCTTCGTATTTTTATATTTACATATATATACTCAAAATCAGCTCAATATGCGAAGTCGTTTAAAAACGAAGTCCGTATAACTGTTATTTTTTACGAATTTTTCAAAGTCTAAAGACAGAAATTTCGGCAAAATACAATGGAGCGGAACCAAATATAAACTCGATCTGTAACTCATCTTAGTAGACTCACATACTAAAAACCAGCTCAATTTGTTAAATGGTTTAGAAAAAAGGTCCATATAACTGTTCGTTGCCATTGTGTCTATACCTATTACACAATGTCATATTTGATAAATAGATCAACCCACTTATTAAGGTGCTAACATCTTTCTTAACTAAAACTTCTTGTACTGTACCTTTAAGAAATAGTTATTCAGTTAAAGATTTTAAGATTTCTATTCCACATTAAAATCTGTCTTACCTTAGAAGCACTGTTATAAAGTTCAAGATTTTTATTACAGTTTTTAACTGTGATGTCAGTGTCGAAAGAATCATCCAAAACAGTACGTTCCTCAGTGGTATTAGTGGCATCGTCAGATTTATGTTCAGTGATATCAGTAGACAGATGGTTAGACAAACGTGTCTCGCCAGACTTAGGCTGCTTAGGTTTACTTGTTGCGCTTCCCATTCTTCTTTATTCATCCTTTGTATATCATCTCTTCATTTTCCCCCAACTGATATTTTGAAAATAGATTCAAGAGTGGACCAATGCACCTTTTTACATCCAATTAACACATTTCTTTTTAGGGGAAAACAACTTTCCAACAATGAATCACTTTAGAATTCATTCCTCATAATAGAAAATTATACCCTAATTAATTGAACATTATAAAGAACAAAAGACATTAAGGGCGTCCAATTCATAGTCATAACTACATTATTGTTAATTATAAAAGCTATAACGCCAATGTAGTACCATGTTCAAATAGTTTAAATTGTAATAAAACAGTGATAATGATCGTTAGGTTGTATGCCATTGTTTTTACAGATGTATTGTGATGTTAAATGAACTTATAGGAACTCTAGTGGAAAGAACGCGATCTGAAAGGGGCTCTCGTGGAAAGAACGCGGTCTTAAAGGTGCTCTCGTGGAAAGAACGCGGTCTTAAAGATGCTCTCGTGGAAAGAATGTGGTCTTAAAGGGGCTCTAGTGGAAAGAACGCGGTCTTATAAAGATGCTCTCGTGGAAAGAATGTGGTCCTAAAGGGGGTTTCGTGGAAAAGACATTTGTTTTACATTGTTGATTGTATTTCAAACTATTTAAAGAACCAGTGTATTCTAAAATGAATTTTTATCAGTTATGTGTTAAACTATGAATAAGAATAATAATATGTCGTTTAAATAAAGCGGTCATATTACCTCTGTAAATTAAAAGGTTTTAGTGTCATGTGAAATCTAGTAGGAAAAAAAAGGAATACATTCCAGTTAAATTACTGTAATATGTGTGTATAATGCGTTTCAGAAAATAGAGAACTTGAAAATTAACTAGTAAACGATGATGAAATAAACAATAGAGAGAAACATACTCAGCCTATACACCATATCAATACTTTGGCAATAGTACAATGTTATAACATTTGTAAAAACATTTTTATGAAATAGTCGTTAAATTTTGGCTCACCTGGCCCAAAAGGCCAATTGAGCTTTTCTCGTCACTTGGCGTCCGTCGTTGTCCGTTAACTTTTACAAAAATCTTCTCCTCTGAAACTGCTGGACCAAATTTAACCAAACTTGACCATAATCAACATTAGGGTATCTAGTGTAAAAAAAATCTGTCCGATGACCCCGTCTACCAAACAAGATGACACATGGCTAAAAATAGAAAATAGGGGTAAAATGAAAGTTTTGTCTATTATTTTGAAAACCGTTATTAATAGAGAAAATGTTACAAGGACGAACATGTTCAGAATGTTGAGCTCTACCAATTGTTCCTTGAAATCGTCAGTCGACTCCTAATTAGAGTTATTACCCTTTGGTGACGATTTTTACCAATTGTTTGCGTGTTTGCCTTATATCTTAATATCATAATAGATAGATAGAAACTTAAATAAGCAAAAATGATCAGCAAGACAAGATCTACATTTTAGACAGTATGGAGGAAATTTCCGACGACTCCTTATTGTCCTTTAATGATGATTTTTACCATTTTTTTTTTAACGTTTTGCCTTATATGATAAAAATTTTAATATATAAATAGAAACTTTCAATAACAAAAATGATCAGCAAGGCAAGATCCACAATCAAGTCAAGTTTTGACGATATAATTAGTAGACTGTCACTCTTCGTAGGAGTGATTGCCCTTAAATGAGGATTTTTTTTAACCCTCTGTTGTGTGTTTTGAGCAAAAACTAAAGAAGATAGAGAGAAACTAAACAGACAAAATGATCAGCAATACAAGATCAACAATAAGAAATTGTTGTCAAATTTTTGTCATGAATTCTATTCCTGTCTACAATGTTGGAGAGAGTCCATTGTTGATTATGCACATAGACCTAGGGAAGCGACACATGCTCTTTAGAGCCGCTAGTTTTTAATTCACTTAGAATGAGGTTCCAATTATTCTCAACAATGCTCAGACAATGTTGACATTAGGCGGTTTATACTATCGTGTCTAAGCTTCTAATTTTTTTTTCTACACAATATGTATTCTTTCTCTGATTTTCGTTGTGCAGAAAATTGTTTGAATGCAACCAAAATAGTTAAGTTATTTTACAAAATCACACACGAGCTAACTTTCACGTTATAAATCTAATCCTGGATGGGGGTTTACTAAATAGAGAATAGTCGGGCAAAAATAAAGAATTAAGAAAAATTGGTATAAAATGAAAAAAAAAGAGAATAACGGGGTGCTAAAATATGAAGAATGGAGAATGATAAGCAAAATTAAAAGAAAAATGAATGGAGAAAAATGACATAATTAGTTAAAGAATAAATAAACGAAAAACCCCCGATAATTGACGAGGTTCAGTCTAACACATGAATATGTGACGGGGTGGAACTAGTTTTTTTTTAAAAGTCAACTCCCCTTTTCAATCTCAAACAATAGTCTAACAAGGTACACAAAAATCCGTAAAGGAAAGGTCTAAAATCTATAAAATTGTATTATAGATAACAAAAACATAAGTACAAACAAAATACAAACAAAATACAACTGAACCACACCAAATTAAACAATGCTTACAGTTATTGGTAGCATGCTCAAAGTGTTTAACCTGGTATCATGCCGTCCTACACTCTAATGTCGATTACTGTATTTCATAGAAGATACAATACAGCATCGTCATACACAGCACGGGAAGACACAATTATGGCCGATGCCCAGAGCACTCTCAAACTAAGACTAGCGACTGGGCGTTTATTTAAAAAAAAAATTACTAGATACAGTGATTGAACAACAGTATAATTATTTACATTTTTCAATAAGTCAAATTTCTAAACTTATATTTTGATGAACAGCATTACCGTAAACATGTATCAGATATGAACAAGCATTCTGTGAGTATTGCCTGGCAATACATAGTCCCTTACCGGTTAAAAATTCATTGTACTAGAACAAAATGCTAACTTGATCTATAACTTATCATGGTGTACACTATATAACAAATATCAAGTCAATATCTTCAAGCATGACAAAAAAAAAAAAAATGTGGAAATTGATTATTTGAGTGGATTTTCTAAGTCCAAGGACCATAACTCTACACAAAATCATCAAAACAGAACAAAATTCGAACTTGATCTGTAACTTGTCATGATAAAACTATATACCAATTATCAAATCAATATTTTCAGCCATGATGAAAAAAGTGAGGAAAACTATTATTTTCGTGAATTTTCTAAGTCCAAGGACCATAACTCTGCACAAAATCATTAGACCGGACCAAAATTCAAACTTGATCTGTAACTTGTCATGATAAATATATATATTATTCATCAAATCAATATCTTCAAGCATGACAAAGAAAAGTACGGAAAACTGATTATTTGAGTGAATTTTCTATGTTCAAGGACCATAACTCTGCACAAAATCGTCAGACTGGATTAAAATTCGAACTTGATCGGTAACTTGTCATGATAAAACAATACAACAAATATCAAATCAATATCTTCAAGCAAGAAGAATAAAAGTGTGGAAAACTGATTTGCCGGACTGACAGATGGACAGACAGACAGACAGACGGACGGAGTTCAAACCTAAAGTCCCCTTCGACTTCGTCAGTAGGGGACTAAAAACTGCATTGAATTAGATTCCTGCAAACGGATTCATTCTTCAATGCAAAATAAATCTATTTGTGATAAAATTTAATAAAATATTTTACCAAATTTAAGACATGAATATCCTTGCTGTTATGCAAATATTACCTTAATAGAAATCCCTGACTTCACTGCAGACACGACATATTGATTTAACTGAGAAATGTACTTTCCAAAAGAAGGAACCAATGCAGTAACATGCACAACCAAGAAAAGTTAAACAATGGGCAATGAAAAAGTCTCGTCAATTAGCAGTGGCTAATGATGAAGTTGCAGAATTAACGTCAACTATATATACATATATAATATTAAATTAATAGTTAAGATCCATTTTGTTACATTTGGTGATCCCTTTATTTGGCAATTGCCAATGGCAGTCAGCAGGGTTTAAGAACATCCGTTGTTCGACCTGCTAGTCAAATGCGTTTTGTTAAAATATACTTTTTCACTTTATGGTCTTTTGGAAAATGTTGTTTGTGCTGTATTTAGACCCCTCTACCAAGAAATTTGTTTTGCATGCACACGTATAAAAATTGCGGTTTTTATCCAACTCAATAATAGGTTTGAACGTTGTTTTCAATTTAGACTTGTTTATAATATATATATATATAGCTAGCAGTGGCTAATAATAAGGTTGAAGAATACACATCAACTAGAAGTGGCTAATGATGAAGTTGCTTGACTTTTATGTAATACAATGTATTTATGTCACAGATGATCAGAATGTTCAAATTTTCATGACCACAATCCTGTCCTCATTTCCTCATTTGTGACTTCATGGAATAAGACTTATCACTGGATTTGTACTTGCATGAGTAACACGACGGGTACTGTATGTGGAGCAGGAGTGATTACCCTTCTGGAGCACTTTAGTTCTGTTTATAAACTTGTTCGTCTTTTCGTTTTTTGCAATGAAGTCGTCAGTTTTTCTTTAACTTGTGAGTTTTTAATGTTCCATTGGCATCTACCGCCTCATTTTTGCAATGGCTGATGATACCTCTGGGGATTTCCTTTCAATTAGAAGTGGGAAATGGTACTTTGGGTGGCTAATAATACCTTTGGGCAATCACAATCAACGAGCAATGGCTAATGATAACTTTGGGGGAATTTCATTTAACTAGCAGTGGCTATGGTTAACTTTAGGGGAATGCTATTCAACTAGCAGTGGCTAATGATATATTTGGGGAAATTCAATTTAACTAGCTGTGGCTAAATAATGATAACTTTGGGGGAATTCCAGTCAACAAGCAGTGTCAACCCAGTAGAAGAAATGCTAAACAAGAATTCATGCATTGTCATGCTAAGCATTTACCCATATGTAATTCAAATTATTAGAAAACAAGAAGTAGGTGTTACAGACAAAAACTAGAGGCTCTCAAGAGCCTGTGTCGCTCACCTGATTCTACTTTGGTTTTGGAAATCATGTAAAAATAGATTAAAATCATTACAGATACCCTAATAATGAGTGAGGCCAAATTTGGTTTAATATTGGTCCTGTAATTTAATAAAAAATCCTGGTGGCCATCTTGAACAGTAAATCGGCAACAAAGTAGCAACACTTAATCAGCACCTCATAAGAAACATTTATGCCATTTTTGGTTTCATTCCATTCAGTGCACCTCTAGAAGAAGCATTTGTATGTATTTCCCATAGGGTCCTATGTTAAAGGAAGTCCCCCCATTGGCGGCCATCATGGATGAAGGATCAGCTTCAAAGTAACAACACTTGGTCAGCACCTCAAAAGGAACATGCATGCCATGTTTGGTTTCATTCAATTCAATGGTTCTCTAAAAGAAAACATTTGTACGTATTTCTCATAGGGTCCTATGTTAAACTAAGTCCTCTGCTGGCGGCCATCTTAGATTATGGATCGGCTTCATAGTAACAACACTTGGTCAGCACATCATAAGGAACATTCATGCCATGTTTGGTTTCATTGCATTCAGTGGTTCTCTAAAAGAAGACATTTGTATGTATTTCCCATAGGGTCCTATGTTAAACTAAGTCCCTTGCTGGCTGCCATCTTGGATGATGGATCAGCTTCAAAGTAACAACACTTGGTCAGCACCTCACAAGGAACATTCTTGCCATGTTTGGTTTCATTCCATTCAGTGGTTCTCTAAAAGAAGACGTTTGTATGTATTTCCCATAGGGTCCCATGTTAAACTAAGTCCCCCGATGGCGGCCATCTTGGATTATGGATCGGCTTCAAAGTAACAACACTCGGTCAGCACCTTATAAGAAACATTCATGCCATGTTTGGTTTCATTCCATTCAGTGGTTCTCTAAAAGAAGACATTTGTATGTATTTCCCATAGGGTCCAATGTTAAACTAAGTCCCCTGCTGGTGGCCATCTTGGATTATGGATCAGCTTCATAGTAACAACACTTGGTCAGCACCTCATAAGGAACATTCATGCGGTGTTTGGTTTCATTCCATTCAGTGGTTCTCTAAAAAAAGACATTTGTATGTATTTCACATAGGGTCCCATGTTAAACTAAGTCCCCCGCTGGCGGCCATCTTGGATTATGGATCGGCTTCAAAGTATAACACTCGGTCAGCACCTCAAAAGGAACATTCATACCATGTTTGGTTTCATTCCATTTAGTGGTTCTCTAAAAGAAGACATTTGTATGTATTTCCCATAGGGTCCCATGTTAAACTAAGTCCCCCGCTGGTGGCCATCTTGGATTATGGATCGGCTTCAAAGTAACAACACTCTGTCAGCACCTCATAAGGAACATTCATACCATGTTTGGTTTCATTCCATTTAGTGGTTCTCTAAAAGAAGACATTTGTATGTATTTCCCATAGGGTCCTATGTTAAACTAAGTCCCCCGCTGGCGGCCATCTTGGATTATGGATCGGCTTCAAAGTAACAACACTCGGTCAGCACCTCATAAGAAACATTCATGCCATGTTTGGTTTCATTCCATTCAGTGGTTCTCTAAAAGAAGACATTTGTATGTATTTCCCATAGGGTTCTATGTTAAACTAAGTCCCCCGCTGGCGGCCATCTTGGATGATGGATCCACTACAAAGTAACAACACTCGGTCAGCACCTCATAAGGAACATTCATACCATGTTTGGTTTCATTCCATTTAGTGGTTCTCTAAAAGAAGACATTTGTATGTATTTCCCATAGGGTCCTATGTTAAACTAAGACCCCCGCTGGCGGCCATCTTGGATTATGGATCGTCTTCAAAGTAACAACACTCGGTCAACACCTCATAAGGAACATTCATGCCATGTTTGGTTTCATTCCATTTAGTGGTTCTCTAAAAGAAGACATTTGTATGTATTTCCCATAGGGTCCTATGTTAAACTAAGTCCCCCGCTGGCGGCCATCTTGGATGATGGATCCGCTACAAAGTAACAACACTTGGTCAGCACCTCATAAGGAACATTCATGCCATGTTTGGTTTCATTCCATTCAGTGGTTCTCTAGAAGAAGTTCAAAATGTAAAATGTTAACACCGACGACGGACGACTCCGGACGCCAAGTGATGAGAAAAGCTCACTTGGCCCTTCGGGCCAGGTGAGCTAAAAAGTGCAAAGCTGTTGACCCTAAACTATTAATATAAAATAAGGAGATGTGGTAGGATTGTTAATGAGATAACTATCTTTTAGAGTCTAATTGACGTGGATTTAAGTTCATTCAACATATTGGCAAACAGAAAGTAGGTATCTGCTCACAAGAGACAACTAGTCACTGTCAAACTACTGACAAAACATAAAGTCATTCTGTTTAGTAGTACCGGAGAAAAATAAGACAGAAACATTCTTTGGATGATCAGGTGGACACAAAACAGATGGACAGATGGATGGTGGGACAAGGTAATGCAGTATAGTCCCCATTCCTAGAGCAAGGGTATAAGAAGATTCTGAAAATAATTCTAAACACCAAATGCACATTTTGAAAATAATTTAAAAAACCTATGATCCCCCCCTTTTTTATTACTCACTTCACTAGGTGAAATAAAAACAATAAAACCATATACAAGCACAGCACTGTTTACTAGAATAATATCACATCAAGTTTCTGAATTTTCATATTGCATCTGTCAAAAAATCACAAACCCCAAAAAATGATATGTGGTGACAGCCACATAATAAACTGTACACAATAAATATTATTGGAGGTGTCTCAGCTTCACCAGAAAATATTCTCACTACTACTTGTTAGGATAAATGGCTGCAGAGGGTTTTGAACCAGATTATCATGATTTACAAATTATTATATTTAATTTACATGTAAACTTACAAAAATACCTATTAAGGTTTAAATCAAAATGTCATTGAATGTCTGTTGTTGATTTTTAAGGTAAAATTTTTATTTGTTGATTGAAATTTACAAAACAGATGGATTTAATTACCAAAATTAACAAGGGAAAAAAAGATTAATTGATTAATCAACTAAATTGAGCATTAGATTTTAATACTGTCATGTAGAGAATGAATTCTAAAATAATTCTCACCCTATTTTCATGTTAAATCACATCTATTAGCTGATTTTTAGCGGACATGCTTTAAACAAATTGGAAATTTTTAATATAAAAATAATTTAAAGTTTTTCGATTAAATTTAATATAGACAAAAGATTTTAATAACAACATACCTTATACATAAATCATATTAATTACAGTGTTTTAATTGACACAAAGTTTGGGATGAATATTCATGAAAGAAATAATATACAGTATTATAGATCAACAGAACTTTTAATTGCTGTTCTCCATCTTGAGGATCTTTTTTTCTCAAATGAGATAAAGAACTCATAGTTGGATCAAAATCACTCTGGCGGTGGATCCAGGGATCTAGGAAAGTTAGGTCCTATTTATCTATGATAAAAATAGTGCTTAACATACTGAGGTGAAATTTAAACAAAGTTTTATGTCAAAAAATGATTTTTTTTCAATCAAAAAGAAGGTGGTACGCCCTCACCTGAATCCACTACCGACTCTACCATTACCTTTAACTGAGGGATATTTAAAAATCTAGACGAAGAGGAATTAATTTTTAATGAAAACATAAGTTATTGTTATCCTACAAAAATATTAGTAGGCTGATTTTATTAAACTCTCTTGAATGAAATGATTTATAAATTATCAAGTGTTTCAACACATCAGACTGAATCTGAAGTAAAAAAGCTACCCTAAAAGTCTATTGTTTGTTTAGATTAAAGAGAAAATTTGGTAAAGAAAAAAATCCACCGTCAAAATTTATTATTTGGTTAGGTTAAAGATAAAATATAGAAATTATAAGTTAAAAAGTCAATGTGTTATATGACAAGCATTGTAATAAAAGAAATTTTTCTGGTGAAGCAAAGATATGTTATATCAACGTCTGTCCATACTCTAAATTAGTTGTATATTGTAGTGATAATAGATAATTGAGAACTTTATACCCTCATCTGTCAGCAAGGAAAACTTTATAAATCGATTATCAACAACTCTTCTTTTTTTAAACATTCAATTTATTTTATAAATTCCAATTTAAGTAAAATTAAATCCTTTAATTTCATTGCGATGTATATCAGAACTGGAGCAATTTAAGGATTTAATTTTAATTAATTTAATAAATTTGAAAATTTATCCTATATTTTTAGGTGTATTATTATTTTAAAATATTCAATCATTTGTTAATCATTGAAATAAAACAACAAATCATGCTGTTTAATTATTCTTCTCTTAGTCATTTTAAAACACAACTCCAGTTTCTAAATTTCCCAGATTGTGTCTTCATTGCAGAATGAAATAATTACTGAATACTGTACAGTTTGTAGAATATATAAAAAATAATGGATTACTATTGACTAAATACTTAGTAATATTTTTAGCCAATCAAAATGAATTTGTGCATGTGTTTTCATATGAAATTAGTTACATGGCAACCTGTCTAAACCAAACATGTTCTTAAGTCCAGTCATATCAAACTTTATGCGTTGTGAACCTGATTAAACCAAAAATTTTCCAAAACCAAACAAAATCCTAAGTCCCAAAGGGGTTTGGTTTAGACAGGTTTCACTGTATTATTTTTTTGAATTTAGCATATGCAATGTCCTATGTTGACAGATAAATTTCAAAGGGTGGGTAAAGCAGGTATAAACAGAATGGTTGTGGTGTATAAACTCTCAACACTATTCTTTAACTTTAACATGAGGACAGAAAATAAGTTTTGACATTCCATTTGATAGTTTCCCACCTCTCGTCCTCTCAACATTCCACTTCTTTTGAAAATCTTAATTATCATAATATAGCAACTGAATGAAGTAAAAATAGATCCGTCTGAATAAATTAAATTACTGTATGGACAGGGTCAATATCTAGAACAAAACATTAAGTAAATAGTATAACACATACTTATAAACAACAACTAAACAACATTTATAAAATGAAAATTGGTGTTATGAAAATTCTGTAACAGTCACATTTTTATCATTAACAAAATGAATAAATGGAATAAAAAACATAAACCTTAAAAAATGACAAGTATTTTAATAACTAATCATTTTTAATTTTATAAAATAAATAATTGACTATTTTATTCTATTACCTATAATGACTCAATTCTGCGTTTGTTTATATCCCGTAAAACAAGATACAAGGAATTAAAGAATAAAAGAATTAAACAATTAATATTTTCTTTTTACAGCACAAATCTCTTATGTCATTTGTGTGTATCAATATACAATGTAATTACTTTATACAAAAGTTCAATGCAATAGACATTTGAAAAAATGCATTGTAATTTAACTTTACAAAAAGTGTGCACTGTATTTAAAATCAACATAAATCATTTCTAAAACAAATTCTTTAATAAACAATATCAAATAGAATAATAGTGTGAATTATCTTAGTAAATTTGATGATGTTAATGAATATATCATTATAAATCAATGTATTTAATATAAATGTAACCACTTCTAGTGTAACATAAATCACTACATAATCTTTTGTATGTACTGCATGTAAAACAATCATTTAAACTAAAGGCAAGCAAGCTATAAACTAACTTGAAAAGTCTTAACAAAAATTTATAATTTTCATGTGTTTTTTTTTCTAGTCATATAAATAAACTTGAAATAAAAGAAATACATACAAGAATTGAATACCACATATATTACATTCAATTGTACATGTCTTTTTCTATTTTTATCATAGACTCATGCTATTGCAGTCAAACCTTGAGAGGACCAGCAATGGTATAACAATCTAAAATATCAACAATTTTTACATGGTAGGGGACCAAAAACAACAATAGGGTCATAAATATATTATATATTTAGATATATATATATCAAATATACTTGTATTATTCTGGGCTTGATCTCAAAATTACTTTTTTTTAACCCTAAATCTATAGAAGTTCACCTACCGTTATCAAAATGGTAAACCCTATTTACATTAAGAACATTTTCAGATTAAAGTCCAAAAACATAACTCATAATATTTTGATGAAAAGAAAGATTTGTGATTCTGTTTTTGAGCATTTTTAAAGTGCACACTTCAGTCATTTATTTTATTGTCACAAATAACAGCTATTCAAATCATTAAACAAACTGTAATCAATGGTAAATGAATGACTAATGTCTGCAACTTTTTAAAATAAAGAAATAATCTGTTAACTGTTTCAACTGCAATACAACTTTATAAAGGCACCTCTGCAATAACATAAAATACAGTTACACAGTCACCGGTATGGTTCTTGCATATAAATATGAATGAAGAGGGATGTTGGGTATGCATCAATAAGACAGCAACCCACCATACACAAAAAACCAAAAGACATTTAGAGGTCAACACAGTCTTCAACATGAGACAGTTGTCTGTATAATATGTCAAGCTCTAAATAGTCCCACATCACCAAAATTTGTGAATAAATTTTAAACAGAATTCTCAAATTTACTTTTGTCTTTTGGAACATATCTAGGTTGACATTATTTCTTATTTCTATCTACAGAATATTTAGGAACATTTTTTCAAATATGGATTGTTTTAAAAAAAGAAAAAGAAAAACAATTACTTCCCTAAGGTCATAATAAATTAATATTAAGTTTACCCCTTAGAGCTATCCCAATTATAACTATCCTGGACGGATGAAATTAATAGGTCTATATATCCTTTATAAATTTTCTATTAGAACTTGCTCTGAGAATGAAATGTGTTTTTTTCTTACTTGAAAATAAATTAGCCATGATATAATTAGGTCACATTAAATCATATTTTTTATCTTGATATGGCTTTTATTTTCTAAATTATCTCCCTTTTTCAAATGAAAATTTATTTATGAACCAATATAAATAACACTCAAAAATAATTTTGGCAAAAAAACCAATAAAAACATGTATACTGTGGAGAAAATAATAATGCTTAGTAATATTACATCAAGGCGGTATTTTATGTTATTTTTCTTAATATTTTCTTGAATTAACTGGAGATATATATTGCTTTGGTCTGACATTAACGTACATGAAATTATATATTTAAAAATATTATGCTCACTGTTTAGATAAAAGGTTCAACCTAATATGAAGCTTCTTCTTTTGAAAATATATTTTTTTAATGTAAATCAAAATGAAATGTTTATTGTTGCATTTTAATTTTTCATATTCAAATTTTAAAGCTTGAATTTTGAAAAATTTCTTTCAATGCCCATACCAGTTCAATTTACCAAGCGTTCAATAAATACTTATGAAAATATACAACACAAATTTGCTTTTACTTCATTGAGTGTCACCACATAAATAAATCTCCAAATACAATGAAGAGATTTGTGCATTAAGATCAAATCCCAGAAAATAATTTATTACAGTTTCCCTTCATGAGCCCCATTATTTTTATATGGCAATATACAGCATTTACGATGTCAATAACTTACTACTGAAAAATTATCAGTCACAAAGACTATCTTTCACACAAATATTAAATATATATTTGTACTTTTTCATAAATAAAAATAATGATAAAATGTATCTTTTTAATGAACGTGACAACAAAAATATATTATTATTTCCTAACAACACACAACATCAAAAATAATTTGCAAAACTTTCAATTCTGAGACATTCATGCTGTTCTATATTTTACATTTATTCAGAGAAATTTCAACTTTAAAATAATCACCCATTCAGAATTTAATGCATTCTGGGTAATATTTGATAAGGTGTACACCAAAGCATTGTGATTGGTAAGAATCCTTTTAAGCAATTGAAATTTATCCAATGATCTGATTTTTTTTTATTTTTGAAAGGCAACAATTTGATCATCAATAATCATTATAGATTCTTCTAGTGTGAATTTACACTATAGTTTAATAATTTTTTAAATTCAATAGCTTAAATATTCTAAAAATCAGAATTGTTTAAGAAAGTGTTTAAACAAATATTTTTCTGCTAACCAGATTAGATTATATCTCACAACTTGACAGTTCAAAATCACTATTAAAAATGAGTATTTCTTGTTTTTTCTCCATGTTTTGTTTCCCAATGCTATAGTTATAGCAAAACATAAAAATACTGAACCCAAAACATCAAATCTCTTTGCATATTACACAAATAAAAAAAAAAAAGTGTGTGTAAAGCTAGAAGGCTCAGAGTTGAAGTTTCTGCTATATATTTTTTCATCAGCATTCATACCATTAAATAAACTACTTATACACACAAAAACAACTAAATATATACATCGTCCCTCCGAGAATATTCCTTAACACATACATCACAATTAACAGGTAGAAGAAAAACAAATATTTTGTAATTATGAATTTCTTGATTTTATGGTAAAAATGATTCAATGCTTATTTTCTTATTCTTCAAAACTGATGTTGAAATGTCAAAAATAAAATAAATAAAAAATATTGGACTCAAATATCAGTAAATTTTTCTTCAAATGTTTTAATCTTTTCTTCTTTCTTTCGACTTTTTACATTATTTAGTACAACAAAATATCTCTTTTACACTATGATCTTGATTCATATGAACAAACGAGATGTGGGAGATACGTCTTTGAGACAGCAACCCAATGACATAGCATAACCAAAACACAGTTGGCTGTTGATATCTTTTTTCACAACTTCTTAATCTAAACTTCAAAATTATGTTACTTTTGTATTCAACAAAGAACCACAAATTAGTTCTAAGCTAGTTTACTGATTTTATCATCGTCTTATGAACTGAAAATCTATGAATTTATTATGCCCAAACATTCAACATATCAGAATAAACTTTTCTTTGTCTTTCTTAAAAAGACAATGTAGGTCACTTCTATACCAAGAGCGATTTCTTTCTGGAAAGTTGAATATTAGTTGTAAAATCTATATCATATCTTTCCAAACTCTCCATATTGCTGTCATTTACTCACTTTCTTTGTTCACACACAAGCAGCCACTATTCTATAAGTTTCGAATTTCAATATTTCTCATCACTAACTCAGTTCACATAATCGATCACTCACAGGTTGAACATTATTTGATATAAAAAATACCCTTATGTTTTAATCTTACATTAAAACCAAATGAAATGACAAAATGTGAAGAAAATTCTGAACAATAAAATATGTTTACAGGAATCGTTTCATCGAACAAATAAGAATTACGAACTAATTTCTTCTTTGATCTTTCTGTCAAGAATTTCCTCCAAGGTGACTTGCGGCATGTTTGATGGCATGGTTAATGGAGGACGAGTTAAGTTTAAAGGTTGACCTTCACCTTCACCTCTGTAATGAGAAAAAAGTTGAGTTACTGACAGTATTCATACTTAGCCACAGGCCTACCAGCTGAGGCCGGTAAAATTTCTATTGGGCTTGTAGAATTTTACTACAGGCCAATAGAATCTAATTAAAATTGTCCAAAAACTGAGTGTCGGACCTGCTGCTGCAATAAATTATAGTTTAAATTTTTGGATGCATGTGTTCCTGTTGAAAGTCAATCAGGAAAAGTCCTTCAAACACACAAAGTTTATTAACTGTTAATTTCATTGAGGCTAAGTATTTTAAATACAAACGTAACACCAATTCCTATAAAACTGACACACATGTAAATGTGTAAAAAAATGTTATGAATTATCTTTGTATTTTACTAATTCATTATAAAAGAAAGAAGAATATGTCCATGGGACACAGACACAGATCCATTTGATAATATAAAGCAAATTCAGCAATTTTTCAATTTATAAAGGAATATAACTCACATTAGAACTGGATCTGTGTTTGGTGTTAATTAGAATTGTGTACAAGTTTTATAACATTTGGTTCAGGCAAACTAAAGTTAGAGAACAGAAACCAATTTTGAAATGTACATACAGATGGACGGTTGAACAGACAAGGATAAACTTTAGTGCCTCTTTTGCCTAGTGGCGGGGGTATGAAAAAGTTTCGCCCAAAAATATCTTTATATATTTGTAATTAGCTAGTAAAGATGCAAATGTCAAGGACAATTTAATAAATGACTTTTTTTATATCAAGAATATATATATAAAGTCGGTAGATACATGTATAGTGTATATACATGTAAAATTGTATGTTTTATGTGTATTCTGTTTATTTAGTAGAATAATAATTCTCTTGTACATATATTTACCTATTATGTGGATTGACACAGAGTTGAGCAAGTTGCTGCATTCCTGCCAGGTGCTGATTGTATGCTGGTAGGAGATTCATGGCCTGAATAGAGTTATAAGCTGCCCCTATAAATGCAGGATGCATTGGTACGCCACCAGGGTACATTTGTGGGTATACCATACCCTGAGCATTTTGTCCAACTGGACCCATCAAGTGTGGTCCATTATATCGAGGCATCTGGGCAAAGAGATTTGATTGGTTGTCACCAAGCATGGCTGAATTTTGTCCATTTTCAACAATGCCGTGGTTGGCAACATTTTCATTGGATGCATGTCCTTGACCTTGATCAATTTTGCTTAGATTTTCCGTACTGTCATATTTGCGTAATAATTTATCTTTTAGGTGAAGCTTGGTTGAATGATGCAAGTCTCTATCGGCCATGTCACCTGCAAATTCTTTACGACTTTCCATTTGACTATCTGACTTCTGAGGGACACCATTATCAACAAATGGTGATTTTTGAACAGTACTTTTCATAACTCTAGGTACATTCAATAATAATTGATCTCGTCCTAAGTTATTTGATGTGACTAGCTGTTGATGACTCATGAACGGATTGTACGGCTTTTGTACCGGACTATTTAAGTGAGCAAACAACTGAGGGTGAGCCTCAATCGTCGATTTCTTCGCCTTTTCATTCTTTTTTGGCTCCATAGCGGCACTTTCATTCGATTTTGTGCCGTTACTGGCTGAATTATCAGGAGTTGTGGGCCTTGATTCTCCATGGGTATTATTGTGAATATGGTGTTTTCGTAGCTTATCAAATTTCTTGTGAAATATTTTGACTTTATCCTCAGATTCGTCATCTTGATCGACAGCCATTGGAGAGCCCGGCTGTTCTGCCTCCTTTATATCCTCTTTTTGTGTGTCTTGAGATCCTTGTAGGCATTCCTCTCTTGGAGGTATGGGTTTAAATGATGATTTTAAGTGACCTGATGGAGAACGATGTTGCCATAGAGATCCACCAGGTGCTATAGGGACAGGTATCCTTAGCAACGATGGACTTTCATATGAATCTGTACAACCAGGTCTTTGAAGCTGAAATGCAAAATAAAATTAATAATTAAATCAACATTTGCCTTTTCTCTTTTTCAAGTTCTTCTTCTTCCTATAACTTTTTAACTTTTGAATTTATTCAACGTAAATTCAAAATTATTGTGTGCATTTATCATTGCGAAAAAGCTACATACAGATATATATATATATCAGATAAAAGAATGCAAGTTTTTATAGTGATACTTGTCACTGAGTTGCAATATTTGCATTACTACAAACCACAGAATAATTTCTGAATTTACAGTAATTGTAGTCAGCACACACCAAGTTCTTTTCTTTCTATAAAAAAAGTATATGATAGCTTCAAATATACACATATATATTCAAACCTATTATCATGATTATCACGATTATTGAAAATGCATCAAATGGAGAGGAAATAAATCTATAGCAACTGTTTGTGAATTAGTGCAAAAGATAAACATGATAAATAAGAATACATGTATGTGTTCATAAGACACCAATCCATGCTTCAATGTTCAGTAAACCTGTGAAATCAGTGTAAAAGGCAAATTAAAAAAAAAAAAAAATTCACACCATCATATACATGTATACTTATTTTCGGGTTAATCATGATAATTATATTATAGCTTGCTAAACAGTGTGGGTTTTGCTCAATGTTGAAGGCAGTACAGTGACCTATAGTTATTTGCTCTGCAGTGAAGAGTTGTCTCGTTGGCAATCAAACCACATTTTCTGATTCTTATAATGTTACCACAACTTCATGGTTTAAGTACCTAAACGATAACTTTTACCTGTCACAGGATGGATGGACATAATAATGGATGGAAAACAGTAACAGCTACAGGAACAAAAAACATAGGGTTTACATGTACACGTATACTAGATATCTTTAGGATCATTGAGTTTGGTTGAAATTTGTACAGTGGTTTCTGTGGATAAAATTTTTGAAAAAGTTTAGACGACTAAAGACAACAACAGACACCAAGTGAAGGCGGATAGGACAACATGAGCTAATAAAATGCTTCGCTGGGGCGCAGCTTGATACGACCGCAGAGGTCGAACCCTGAACAGTTGGGGCAAGTATGGACACAACATTCAAGCTTGATACAGCTCTGAATTTGGATTGTTATTAAATATTTGACACAGCATAGGTTTCTGACACAGAAAGAATGTGGTCTAAGAACTTGAATTTTTTTAATTTACCTATTATGGTCCAATGTCCAAAATCAAAATACATGGTTAGTTTCAGCATATCAAAGAACCCCATATATTCAATTTTTGTTAAAATCAAACAAAGTTTAATTTTGGACCCCAACTTGGACAAACTTGAAAACTGGGCCCATAATCAAAAATCTAAACACATGTTTAGATTCAGCATATCAAAGAACCCCAAGAATTCAATTTTTGCTAAAATCAAACTAAGTTTAATTTTGGACCCTTTGGACCTTAATGTAGACCAATTTAAAAAACGGGACTTAAAATTAAAAATCTAAATACACGGTTAGATTTGGAATATCAAAGAACCCCAATATTTCAATTTTTGATGAAATCAAACAAAGTTTAATTTTGGACCCTTTTGACCTCAATATGAACCAATTTGATAGCGGGGCCCACAAATAAAAAATCTAAATTCATGGTTAGATTTAGCATATCAAAGAACCCCATATATTCAATTTTTGTTGAAACAAAAAAAAGTTTAATTTTGGACCCCAACTTGGACCAACTTGAAAACTGGGCCCATAATCAAAAACTAAACACATGTTTAGATTCAGCATATCAAAGAACCCCAAGAATTCAATTTTTGTTAAAATCAAACTAAGTTTAATTTTGGACCCTTTGGACCTCAATGAAGACCAATTTAAAAAACGGAACCCAAATTAAAAATCTAAAAACACGGTTAGATTTGGCATATCAAAGAACCCCAATAATTCAATTTTCGATGAAATCAAACAAAGTTTAATTTTGGACCCTTTTGACCTCAATATGAACCAATTTGATAGCGGGGCCTACAAATAAAAAATCTAAATACATGGTTAGATTCAGCATATCAAAGAACCTCATATATTCAATTTTTGTTGAAATCAAACAAAGTTTAATTTTGGACCCCAATTTGGACCAACTTGAAAACTGGGCCTATAATCAAAAATCTAAATACATGTTTAGATTCAGCATATCAAAGAACCCCATATATTCAATTTTTGTTGAAATCAAACAAAGTTTAAATACTGGACCCTATCTTGGACCAACTTGAAAACTGGGCCCATAATCAAAAATCTAAACACAAGTTTAGATTCAGCAAATCAAAGAACCCCAAGAATTAAATTTTTGTCAAAATCAAACTTAAGTTTAATTTTGGACCCTTTGGACCTCAATGTAGACCAATTTAAAAAACAAGACCCAAAATTAAAAACCTAAATACACGGTTAGATTTGGAATATCAAAGAACCCCAATAATTCAATTTTAGATGAAATCAAACAAAGTTTAATTTTGGACCCTTTTGACCTCAATATGAACCAATTAGATAACGGGGTCCACAAATAAAAAATCTAAATACATGGTTAGATTCAGCATATCAAAGAACCCCATATATTCAATTTTTGTTGAAATCAAACAAAGTTTAATTTTGGACCCCAATTTGGACCAACTTGAAAACTGGGCCAAAAATCAAAAATCTAAATACATGTTTAGATTCAGCATATCAAAGAACCTCATATATTCAATTTTTGCTAAAATCAAACAAAGTTTAATTTTGGACCCTTTAGACATTAATGTAGACCAATTTGAAAACTGGACCCAAAATTAAAAATCTAAATACACTGTTAGATTCGGCATAACAAATAAATAAATGTGATCAAAGATTTTACAAATCTAATGCGCCATACTGTGCAATTAAAGATTACTTCTTGAAATTTTTCAAGATTTGAAATTTGAAAAAAAAATAATATTTGAAGAATAATTCTTTTTAATTTCTGAAATCTGAAATGAGAAAAAATTGGCCCCCCACAATTTCTTTTTATCCCCCCCCCTTTTTCCCCCCAAAAAATTCTTTCCCTCAAGATATGGTCATAATCTCAATTCAAATTTCCAATGGAGTTGGCAACCATAATTACCCATTTAAATTTACCATAGTGCTAACTTAATCTATTTTATAATAGAATTAATAAAAATATAGTGTCAAATCTTTCATATGGATTTTTTTGTAAAAAAAAAAGATGAAAACATTTGCAGATATTTTTACTGGTCTTCCTTTATAAATATGCATTTCTTTAAACATAATTTAAAAGCAGTGTAAGGGAAGTAACCAAAACGTTGTATTTGGATTACCTCCCTTACACTGTTTTAGATTATCTTTATTGTTCATTAACCATTACTTTATACATAATTTAAAAGCAGTGTAAGGGAGATAATTTCAATGATGTATTTGATTTATCTCCCTTACACTGCTTTAAATTATGTTTTGTACTAAAGTATTTGTCCATTAACCAGGACAACCTTGTTTTTCCCCCTTTTTTGCCCGTAATTCCTAAACGGTTTGAGCCATAACCCCCCAAAGCAAATCCTAACCATCCCTTTGTGGTATGGAAACTTGTAGTATAATTTCAGAGAGATCCATACACCGTTCCACAGTTATTGTCTGGAAACTAGAAAATGCTCATTTTTGGCCCCTTTTTGGCCCCTAATTCCTTAACTGTTGGTACCATAACCCCCAAAATCAATCCCAACCTTCCTTTTGTGGTATTTAACCTTATGGTCAAATTTCAAAAAGATACATTCACTTAAACTAAAGTTAGAGTGCGAAAACCAATATGTATTCGGACGACGACGACGCCGGACGACGACGACGACGACGCCAACGTCATACCAATATACGACCACAAAATTTTTTTGCGGTCGTATAAAAATGTTTTACAAGGAAATCTATTTAAAGAACTAAATATTTATTTGACATTAAGACCAGCCTAATTGTTTAATTAAATCAATACCTTATGTTCTTGAGAGATAAAATTATCTGAAAACTTGGGTAAATAGTCTGAAGACCTCTCTGCCAATGGTGACTTCTTTCTAGCGTAAGGCCCAAATGATGCACCAACACTGCCTCTACGCATTTCTGGATTTAATCGATACTGGAGATCATCAGGGGAGATTCTTTCGTCAGAATACATTGAAGCCGATAGATTCCGTGGAACTCGGGAAGCTCGACCTTCACTGTTCATATGAAAACTATAGCATCTGGGCCTCATAGGGCCAAATTCGTCCTGTCCCATAGAACCTGACCTTGACCTAGAATTTGGAGATCCAGGAGATGAAGAACCAAAGGGAAGTAATGAGTCCCTAGAAAATGCTGGACTGGCACGAGAACTACAAGCACTTGTAGAATCAGCCATTGATATAGGAATAAAATCGTGATGGGTTCTATTCAGATAAGCATGAAATTCCTCAGGAATGGGACTGCTTGCAGCACTGTTACATATCGAAGGTGGCATACTGTCTCCTCGAATGGCTGCACGCTTTTCTAACTTATCACTCAACTTGTTCACCATTTTATTCATATAGTCTCTATCTAAAGTATTCCGTCTTCGATTTCCTTCATCAATAGTATGTAATCTGGGTCTTGTCACTGTTTCCCTGTCTAACGTGTGACATCGTCTCCGTGGCATGTCTGGAACCAGACCATAATATCCAGCATTTTCCTCTTTATAAAAAGTTCCGTAAGGTGTTTTAAGAACCACTTGGTGGGCATCATTAGGGAATCTTATTCCAGAGCCTGTGCTTCCGTCATACGAACCACAGCCTGAGTCGTAGCCTGTAGCGCCAGACTGATCAGATGGCGACGAACCTTCAGATCTGTAATTATAAACGTATTTAAAATGTGTCATGTTAAAATGTCTTAATCATTATCTAATTTACAATACTTAAAAATTCCTATGCTTGTTTTTCATGAGTTAGTCAATATTATGGTTCGTTTTAAGTGAGTATCAACTAATATTAGCCTTTGACAAATACTTCTTTTTTATTCAATCAAGAAAACTTGACATTTCACTGTCCTTTCAAAAGTACAAAGTTTTAACTTCAATTTTTGTTTTCCCTCATCACACATGTCACATGCTCATATTTTTTTTTTTTCAACTTATATATATAGCCTTTTAGCTTGTTGACCTTTCAATTTTTTTACATATGATATATGTCATAATTTTTGTTAATTCTTTTATTGCGAACCAAATGAAGTTTTTCTACAGAGTCATCTCCTATTTAAAATTTTGTCAGTTCTACTGTCCCATTGAATAAATACAATAGCATTGTTCTCAGTGTAGTTTATTCACTGGGACCTTTGAATTTCTTCTAAGAGAAATCCATCACTCCTTGATTAATTTACCTGAATAAAAATTATATTCTAATAGTAGAAAATACATGTTTTAACTCACAAAACTGCATGTGATGTTGTATATATTTTCGATATCAATAATATATTTTCAATCTGTTCAATGTAAATAGTGATTCAAACAATAAAAGTTGATTTCTGACAACTAATTAAGAACTGACAGTATTAAGGGCTTACCTAGAATCAGATATTGTTTTATTTGTTTCCATTTTACCATCCCCTGACTCTCCTTCTGTTTGTCCTGTTAAAAAAAAACCAATTTCTGTTGAATAATTTATAAAAAATGTCAGTAAGGTTACAGCATTAAAATGTAAGTAATATTGTGGATTCATCAATATTTTTCGTAGGATATCAATCTCTGTGGATTTTTTTAGTATAGGTCAACCAAAATTTAAGTGTTTAATAAAGTATACAAAACACAAAACCATGAAATCAAATATCCATGAAAATACAATTATTCCTCAATCCACTTAATTAAATGAATACACTGTAATACTCCATCAAATTTTACCATAACATTTCTTCTTTCCACTATTAGTACATGTAACACTTCTTTAAGCTCTGGAGTATATATGTGTCAGTAGCACACCATGTCACACTTCTTTAAGCTCTGGAGTATATATGTGTCAGTAGCACACCATGTCACACTTCTTTAAGCTCTGGAGTATATATGTGTCAGTAGCACACCATGTCACACTTCTTTAAGCTCTGGAGTATATATGTGTCAGTAGCACACCATGTCACACTTCTTTAAGCTCTGGAGTATATATGTGTCAGTAGGACACCATGTCACACTTCTTTAAGCTCTGGAGTATATATGTGTCAGTAGGACACCATGTCACACTCACACTATCACATTTCTATGTTCAGTGAACAATGAAATTAAGGTCAAAACCTTTCCATTATAAGCAAATAATTTTAAAGTTTATATCATAGTGAACATGTCATTTTGGGGCCTTTTATAGCTGACTATGGGGTATGGGCTTTGCTCATTGTTGAAGGCCTGTTGAAGGTATTGTTGTACCCTGACCTATAATTGTTAATTTCTGTGTCATTTGGTCTCTTGTGGAAAGTTGTCTCATTGGCAATCATACCACATCTTCTTTTTTATATGTGTACTAAGTTTCAAGTTGATGTGACCACAACTTCATGGTAAACTACTTTGAACAAAAACTGAAACCTGATACAGGACGGACAGATGCATAGACCATAAAACATAATGGCCCCATACTATTGTAGGCGGGGCATACAAATAATTTTACAATACAAAGAGGTACACAGGGAAATTTCACTCACATATTACTTACAGAATTTTATTACGCACACTCACACCTATAAGAGTTTACTTCGATTTCTCATCATTTTTTTCATATTAAAAATGTACCATATTGCTGGTATTGAGTCAACAAAGGAAATCTTGTGAAACTAAATATTTTGATCAATTTCCATTCAATGGGACAGACCGCGGGACATAAATAAAACTAATACACCTTATCACTATTTGGCCGGAATTTTAAATCTTGACATCTCAAGAGAACATGTCCAATGACACATAGCAAAAGTGATTGTTGTATAACAACTACAGATGAAGTTTTGTCAGCAATAAGGTCAATATAGAACTTGATCGTTTGATATTTTATAATTATTCATACTCATGCATAATAGTACTAAAGAAAGAGAGCCCCTGCATGACAAAGAACACCTTTCTATAAAATATTTAATTTCTAGTGACTTAATTTGCAAAACTTCAGCTTTACCACCAGGTGAAATTTTCTTTTTCACTAGTTTCCTATTAATTACCTTATTTCTACAATACATTGAACTTTTCACTTATTCTTTAAATAAATAACGTTTTTTCCTCTTTACATAAAATAACATTGATGAATATATCATCTGAATAGCCCTGTTTAACCTTTGATAAAATTTTGTTTTAGATACAAAAAAAAATATTGTAAAGGTGGCACAGTGCAGAATTTCAACATTAATCTAAATGCAATATTCATAACAAAAAAAATAGCTGTTGGAAAGATGTTAAATCATGGCCAATTAAAGGTTTTTTCATGTCAAATCAAGGTCTATAATAGTTTTTTTTCCATGTCAAATCAAGGTCTATTATAGTTTTTTTCCATGTCAAATCAAGGTTAATCAATATTTTACAACAATTTGTATATTTAATTGATATTATGCAAATGTTCTGAATGTTAAAAAGAACACCCACTGACATATAGTTTTGTCACAGTTGTTTATGATTAATATTTCAAACTTTGTCCTGAACGAAACAAATACATGAGTAAATAAGAAAATAATTTATACAACTGTAGAAAACAAAAATTCCTAACATGATTTTGGTGAGAAAATGTTCATGAAACTCGTCATAAACTTTTTGTTTCAGTTTTGTTCATGTTGTATTTGGTGAGTATTGGTTAACTACCTATTGACTTTTATGACAGTAGAGTAGATTCCTTCATGTGTTATTTATTGAGTATATTGGTGACCTACCTATTGACTTTTATGACAGTAGAGTAGATTCCTTCATGTGTTATTTATTGAGTATATTGGTGACCTACCTATTGACTTTTATGACAGTAGAGTAGATTCCTTCATGTGTTATTTATTGAGTATATTGGTGACCTACCTATTGACTTTTATGACAGTAGAGTAGATTCCTTCATGTGTTATTTATTGAGTATATTGGTGACCTACCTATTGACTTTTATGACAGTAGAGTAGATTCCTTCATGTGTTATTTATTGAGTATATTGGTGACCTACCTATTGACTTGAATGACAGTAGAGTAGATTCCTTCATGTGTTATTTATTGAGTATATTGGTGACCTACCTATTGACTTTTATGACAGTAGAGTAGATTCCTTCATGTGTTATTTATTGAGTATATTGGTGACCTACCTATTGACTTTATGACAGTAGAGTAGATTCCTTCATGTGTTATTTATTGAGTATATTGGTGAACTACCTATTGACTTTTATGACAGTAGAGTAGATTCCTTCATGTGTTATTTATTGAGTATATTGGTGACCTACCTATTGACTTTTATGACAGTAGAGTAGATTCCTTCATGTGTTATTTATTGAGTATATTGGTGACCTACCTATTGACTTTTATGACAGTAGAGTAGATTCCTTCATGTGTTATTTATTGAGTATATTGGTGACCTACCTATTGACTTTTATGACAGTAGAGTAGATTCCTTCATGTGTTATTTATTGAGTATATTGGTGACCTACCTATTGACTTTTATGACAGTAGAGTAGATTCCTTCATGTGTTATTTATTGAGTATATTGGTGACCTACCTATTAACTTTTCTGAGTTTAGAGTATTAAGAGTATGTAAGGTGAGGTGACCTACCTATTGACTTTTCTGAGTGTAGAGTATTTAGAGTACGTAAATCAGTAGTTTTCATCAGTAGTTTAGCAAACAGAGTTGTATCCTCTTTATGATTTGTGTTTATCACAGTCTGTAAACTTTCTGTTAGTTTGTTCTGTAGTTTCTCAATCTGTTCTACATTTCGTAAACCTGGACGATCTGAAAATAAAATCACATAGTAAATTATCAACTATATACAATAGAAAAACTTTTAGGATATAGGATATCCATCCATGACAAAAAATCAGTACATGCACAGCAAAAAAAAACCTACAAAAGGAAAAGGAACAGCGCTTTTATTGCTGTTCTTCATCTCAAAGTGAGGCCTTCAACATGGAGTAAAAAAACTCTCACCTCACTGCAAGATTCAGACTGTCCCTAGCACCAGCTTGAGTGGAATTCTTTGCAAGAGTAATTTGAATAGACTTTGTAAGATGTTTCACCACCAAATATGGCCAGGTCAAAAAAGAACATACTGGAAAGTAGTACATATTTAAAACAAAATAGTTTCTACGCATATGTGTAAACATAAAACTATGTAGAATTTTTTTTAGTAATTAAGGTATCAGATGAAAGGTGAATCATTGGTGATCCTTGTAGAACACATATTGACTAATAACTTTGAACAGTACAAAAATGTATGAATGAATTCTAAAATTGAGGTCATATATTGCCTGTTTCTCAGATATAAAGTACCTGGTTTGTTGTATAAGAAAAATCTGGTAAATTCTGTTTGGAAGTGAAAATTTAATGTGGATAGGAATGAGGGCCAAGAGTAGGTGGTGTGTGGGGAATGTGTCCATGAAACACAGATGATGTCCCCGCTTGCATATCATATGAAGTTATAAAGGGACATAACTGAAGAACGGTAAATGTGATGCTACCCAAATTTGTTATTGATCTGAGTTTTGAAGTAATAAGTATAGTGTATAAGTCTCATAACATCTGGTTGAGGCAAACTTAAGTTTGAAAACTGAAACAAAAAAATCAGCAATTTTTCCTTTAGTAAAGGGGCATAACTCTAGAACAGTAAAAGTGACACCACCAAAAAACATACGTGATCTGTATTTTGTGGTAATAAGCATTGTTATTGTAAAGCATAATAATACATATGTTCAAACTCTTTTCATTTTTTAGTAGCAACAAACAAAAGAGCTATGTCAATTGGACATGTTTTGATACTATATCTGCCCTTGAATTTTTACTTGATAACATTTTTCTTCGCTTTGGAGATTCCGTATATCGTCAAGTTATCGGAATTCCAATGGGGACTAACTGTGCACCACTTATTGCGGACCTGTTTTTGTATTGTTATGAGTTACAATTTATGACTAAAATCAGCAAAGACCCATCGAAACAACATCTGATACAAAAATTTAACAATACTTTTAGATATTTGGATGATATATTGGCTCTCAATAATGACAACTTCAGTATATGTATACTAAAGAAATTTATCCTGTTGAACTTACTTTAAATAAAGCTAATAATAACAATGACCACTGTCCTTTCCTTGATCTTGATATCTATATCATTAACGGGAAGCTTAATACAAAAATTTATGACAAAAGAGATGATTTTTCATTTCCTATCGTTAATTATCCATTTTTAGATGGTGATGTTCCCTTGTCACCATCTTATGGTGTTTATATATCTCAACTTGTATGATTCGCTCGTGTATGTAACAACGTATTAGATTTTAGTGAGAGAAATTTATATATTACTGAAAAATTATTACACCTGGGTTTTCGATATCATAAACTAGTCAAAACATTTACTAAATTTTATCATCGGTATAAGGACATCATTCGTAAATATAACTCAACATGCAGATATCTTATACATTCGGGTATTTCACATCCAATCTTTTATGGTAATATTCTTTACAAAGCACAAAAATGTCAGTATTCACCTCAAAAGCTAACAAAACCTTTAAACAGACTTATTAAGAAGGGATATAGTTACGATACTGTTGTCAGGTCATTAAAAATTGCATATTTTGGCTTTAATATTGATTCATGTATAGGGTCTTTGCATCGTAATTAAACATATTTATTCTAAAACCAGTTGTTGGCATGACACGGGTTATGTTCTTCTCATATATTTTATGAGGGTATAATACTAAACCCCTAACAGGAGGGATTGTGCCTGATATTCATATGATGAAGACATAATCTTTCAATCAGTTTAATTGAGGTCTGGAGCTGGCATGTCAGTAACTGCTAGTAGTCTATTGTTATTTATGTATTATTGTCATTTTGTTTGTTTTCTTTTGTTTCCTATTCTGACATTGGACTCAGACTTCTCTTAAACTGAGTTTTACTGTGCGTACTGTTGTACGTTTGTTTTTTCTACATTGGCTAGAGGTATAGGGGGAGGGTTGAGATCTCAAAAAACATGTTTAACCCCGCCGCATTTTTGCGCCTGTCCCAAGTTAGGAGCCTCTGGCCTTTGTTAGTCTTGTATCATTTTTAATTTTAGTTTCTTGTGTATAATTTGGAGTTTAGTATGACGTCCATTATCACTGAACTAGTATACATATTTGTAAAGGGGCTAGCTGAAGGACGCCTCCGGGTGCGGGAGTTTCTCGCTGCATTGAAGACCCATTGGTGGCCTTCGGCTGTTGTCTGCTCTGTGGTCGGGTTGTTGTCTCTTTGACACATTCCCCATTTCCATTCTCAATTTTATTGTGTATAATTTTCATAAGATTCGGTTGAGGCAAACTTAAGTTAGAGAACGGAAAGAAAAATTCAGCAATTTTTCATTTTGTTAAGGTGCATAACTCTGAACAGTAAAAGTAACACCACCAAAAATCCAATGTGATCTGTATTTTGTGGTAATAAGCATTGTGTATAATTTTCATAACATTCGGTTGAGGCAAACTTAAGTTAGAGAACGGAAACCAAAAATTCAGCAATTTTTCCTTTTGAAAAGGGGCATAACTCTAGAACGATAAAAGTGACACCACTAAAATTTAAATTTTGGACTGTATTTTGTGGTAATAAGCATTGTGTATAAGTTTCATAACATTTGGTTGAGGCAAACTTAAGTTAGAGAATGGAAACGAAAAATTCAGCAATTTTTCCATTTGTAAAGGGGCATAACTCTACAACGGTTTAAGTGATGCCACCAAAATTCAAACTTGATCTGTGTTTTGTGGTAATAAGCATTGTGTATAAGTTTCATAACATTTGGTTGAGGCAAACTAAAGTTAGAGAACGGAAACCAACTTTGGGACCTACGGACGGATGGACAAGGGTAAAACATAATGCCCCCTCCGCTACGGCTGGGGCATAAAAATGTTCAGATACTCATCCAATTTTCTTTTTATTTTGGGTTGAAATGAATTTTTTTTTCTGGGAAATTAAATTTTTTTCCCCCTATTTATTGTGAAAACCTTTAGCAAAATAAAAGACATAAGACAGAAACCAAAACAATTTTTTTTCACTGGATGTATATCATGTGGAAAGAAAGGGTCTTTCCTCAAAACTCTTTATAAGGAGATTTGGTGTGATCAACCAAAGTTAAAAAAAAAGTGGATGTAAGCAATTGTAGGCAACCCTACAGCCTTTAACAATGAGAAAACCCATACCATATAGTTGGCTATAAAAGGCACCAACATGAAAAATATACTGAGAAAACTAACAGCCTAATTTAAAACAAAACTAACATTTTTTTCTATTTCAGGTTGTCCAATACCATGGAGTTGGCAGAGATGTTACTTACCAGGAGACAACAAAACCATGGAGTTGGCAGGGATGTTACTTACCAGGAGACAACAAAACCATGGAGTTGGCAAGGATGTTACTTACCAGGAGACAACAAAACCATGGAGTTGGCAGGGATGTTACTTACCAGGAGACAACAAAACCATGGAGTTGGCAAGGATGTTACTTACCAGGAGACAACAAAACCATGGAGTTGGCAGGGATGTTACTTACCAGGAGACAACAAAACCATGGAGTTGGCAGAGATGTTACTTACCAGGAGACAACAAAACCATGGAGTTGGCAGGGATGTTACTTACCAGGAGACAACAAAACCATGGAGTTGGCAAGGATGTTACTTACCAGGAGACAACAAAACCATGGAGTTGGCAGGGATGTTACTTACCAGGAGACAACAAAACTATTGCAGAAAACAAAGCTATTTCTTCTTCCGCCAACTTTAACATGTTGAACCTCTCGGCAAAATCAAACATCGAGTCCAACAGGCCAGCAGAATTGGTGGACTGAAATGTTTGTAAACAAGAAAATTTATTAATTAAGCAAAAAATTTTAGGGATTGGTCAACAACAATATTTTTCAAGACTTAAATCTTGTAAAATTTGAAAAGAGTTCCATGGAATCATGAGTTTTAACTGGGATTGCTGCTGTAAAAACTTTTGACCCCCAAAAACTAAGTCCATTTATCAGTAAAATACAGACATTAATCAAAATTTGGCTCAGGACACTATATAATGAACAAGCATTTTGAGAGTATTGCATGGCAATACATAGTCCCCTATCGGTTATAAATTCATTGTACTGGAAAAAAATGCTAACTTGATCTATAACTTGTCATGGAGTAAACTATATAACAAATATCAAGTCAATATCTTCAAGCATGACGAAAAAAAGTGTGGAAAACTGATTATTTAAGTGAATTTTCTAAGTCCAAGGCCCATAACTCTGCACAAAATAATCAGACCGGAACAAAATTTGAACTTGACCTGTAACTTGTCACAATAAAACTATATACCAATTATCATATCTGCAAGCATGACGAAAAAAAGTGTGGAAAACTTATTGAATGAATTTTCTAAGTACAAGGACCATATCTCTGCACAAAATCATCAGACCAGAACAAAATTCGAACCTGATCTGTAACTTGTCATGATAAAACAATACACCAAATATCAAATCAATATCTTCAAGGACGAAGAACTAGAGACTCTAAAGAGCCTGTGTCGCTCACCTTGGTCTATGTGCATATTAAACAAAGGACACAGATGGATCCATGACAAAATTGTGTTTTGATGATGGTGATGTGTTTGCAGATCTTACTTTACTGAACATTCTTGCTCCTTACTATTATCTCTATCTATAATGAACTTGGCCCGGTAGTTACAGTGGAAAATATTTTGTAAAAATTTACAAAAATTTTCAAAATCTATGAAAATTGTAAAATATTGACTATAAAGGGCAATAACTCCTTAAGGGGTCAATTGATAATTTTGGTCATGTTGACTTATTTGTAGATCTAACTTTGCTGTACGTTATTGCTGTTTACAGTTTATCTCTATCTATAATAATATTCCAGATAATAACCAAAAGCTGCAAAATGTTCTTAAAATTACCAATTCAGGGGCAGCAACCCAACAACCTGTTGCCTGATTGGTCTGAAAATTTCAGGGCAGATAGATCTCGACCTTATAAACAATTTTATCCTCTTCAGATTTGCTCTAAATGCTTTGGTTTCAGAGATATGAGCCAAAAACTGCATTTTACCCTATGTACTATTTTTTACCATGTCAGCCATCTTGGTTTGCGGGTGGGGTCATCGGACACATTTTTTAAACAAGATACCCTAATGATGATTGTGGACAAGTTTGGTTAAATTTGTCTTCGTAGTTTCAGAGGAGAAGATTTTTGTAAAAGATTACAAATATTTACGAAAAATGGTTAAAAATTAACTATAAAGGGCAATAACTCCTTAAGGGGTCAACTGACCATTTTGGTCGAGTTGACTTATTTGTAGATCTTACTTTGCTGAACATTATTGCTGTTTACAGTTTATCTCTATCTATAATAATATTCAAGATAATAACCAAAAACGGCAAAATTTCCTTAAAATTACCAATTCAGGGGCAGCAACCCAACAATGGGTTGTCCGATTCATCTGAAAATTTCAGGGCAGATAGATCTTGACCTGATAAACAATTTTACCCCTGTCAGATTTGCTCTAAATGCTTTGGTTTCAGAGATATAAGCCAAAATCGACATTTTACCCCTATGTTTTATTTTTAGCCATGGCGGCCATCTTGGTTGGTTGGCCGGGTCACCGGACACATTTTTTAAACTAGATACCCGAATGATGATTGTGGCCAAGTTTGGTTAAATTTGGCCTAGTAGTTTCAGAGGAGAAGATTTTTGTAAAAGTTAACGGACAACGACGACGGACGAGGGATGACGGACGCCAAGTGATGAGAAAAGCTCACTTAGCCCTTTGGGCCAGGTGAGCTAAAAAAGGTGTGGAAAAACTGATTTGCCGGGCTGATGGATGGACAGACAGACAGACGGGCGGACGGAGTGCAAACCTAAAGTCTCTGCCGACTTCGTCAGTAGGGGACTAAAAAGCTTCTGCTTAATTCCATGAAGGACTTACAATTCTATTTAAATTTTAAAATCTTAAGCCACAGACTGTACCTTATTGTTAACAAAAAGTATTTGTAGAATAACTTATCCAAGAATTCAAATATAAATTTTTTTTAAACAAGTGAACAAACACATTAAATCACAAATGTTGGTCAATTATCAGTGTTGTTCAGTCACAAGCTGAATATTTTCAATATTTGAATTTTTGGATTATTTTTTCTTTTTATTACTGGTACATAGATTTTTTTTTTAAATACAATTCCCTGTGAGTTTGGAAAAGGTATAGATGTTTTTTATAACCGTAACACAAAACTATATTTTAATGTTAACTAAAAATAAATGTGGATAGTGTCCACATGTGGACACAGATGATGCCCCCCTTGCATATCATATAGTTATAAAGGGACATAACTGAAAAACAGTAAAAGTGACGCTACCCAAATTTGAACTTGATCTGAGTTTTGTGTGTAAGTCTCATAACATTTGGTTGAGGCTAACTTAAGTAGAGAACAGAAACTAAAAATTCAGCAATTTTTCTATTTATAAAGGGGCATAACTCAATAATGGTTAAAGTGACACTACCCAAATTCAACTTGATCTGTGTTTTATCAGTGGAAGTCAAAATTAAACATTGCATTGTATAAAGCATTCATTGTAGTTGATTCAACTATAATCATGGACAAAGGAAGATAACTCCAATTTTAAAAATAACTTGATATTTAGAAGAAAATAAAAATTTTGCAATTTTTTCCATTTATAAAGGAGCATAACTCTAGAACGGTTAAAGTGATGCCACCAAAATTCAAACTTGATCTGTGTTTTGTGGTAATAAGCATTGTGTATAAGTTTCATAACATTTGGTTGAGGCAAACTTAAGTTAGAGAACGGAAACTAAAAATTTTGCAATTTTTCCATTTATAAAGGGGCATAACTCTAGAACGGTTAAAGTGACGCCACCAAAATTCAAACTTGATCTGTGTTTTGTGGTAATAAGCCTTGTGTATAATTTTCATAACATTTGGTTGAGGCAAACTTAAGTAAGAGAACGGAAACTAAAAATTTTGCAATTTTTCCATTTATAAAGGGGCATAACTCTAGAACGGTTAAAGTGACGCCACCAAAATTCAAACTTGATCTGTGTTTTGTGAAAATAAGCATTGTGTATAAGTTTCATAACATTTGGTTGAGGCAAACTCAAGTTAGAGAACGGAAACCAATTTTGGGACGTACATACAGACGTACGTACGTACAGACGGACAAGGGTAAAACTTAATGCCCCCACTGCTACGGCGGGGGCATAAAAAACTAAGTTTATTAATTAATAAAAGAGAAATCTTCAAATGCTCTTACTTGATTATGACATAGCTTCTGTCAATATTTCATAGAATTAAAAGAAGGTTTGACAAAGTTTTGCTATTTCCATTTACAAGTCCATGAAGTCTAAATATAAATCTTACATCTGGAGGTGGACGTTTGAAGAGTTTTCCACATGTAAACATCATTGTTCCATTCTCTGTATCAAACAAACAAGCATGTCTGACCAGTAAAACTTCAAATGTTGCTGCCTGAAAAGGTAAAAATGTTTCAATTATCATTTTGTATAAATTAACAGAATTAATCAGTACAGATGTATACATAGAAATAAGAAAATGTCGTATAAGTGCCAATGAGACAACTATCCATCCAAGTCACAATGTGTAAAAAGTAAACAATTATAGGTCAAAGTATGGCCTTCAAAACGGAGACTTGGCTCACACTGAACAACAAGCAATAAAGGGCCTCAAAATGACTAGTGTAAAACAATTCAAACAGGAAAACCAACAGTCTAATCTATTTAAAAAACTAGAAACGAGAAACACTTATGAACCACATCAACAAACGACAACCACTGAACAACAGGTTCTGGACTTAGTAGATATAGGAAGATGTGGTATGAGTGCCAATGAGACAACTCTCCATCCAAGTATATGCCTGTTCCAAATCAGGTTTCTAATCAATGGTTGTATTAAGTTATTTCTTAATTTTATTGTCCTTCAGGGAATTTGATGTTGATGAAAAATCTTTAGTAAATGTATTCACTTCTTGAGAGGCAGGGCAATTGGCAGTCTGAAATATGCCTGGTTTTTGGTGGGGTCTTTAGTTTTCTATGTTGCTTTTAAAAGACTGTTGTTTGCCTTTTGGTCTTTTTTGTTTTTGCCATTGCATTGGCTGTTTGTGTTTTTGACTTATGAGTTTGAATATCCCTTTGGTATCTTTAACCTCTCTTTTATAGATATTTACCATGTGTTGAAGACCTGGACATATGTTAGAGTCATTTGCCATGTGTTGAAGACCTGGACATATGTTATAGACATTTGCCATGTGTTGAAGACCTGGACATATATGTTATAGCCACTTGTCATGCATTGAAGACCTTGACATATGTTATAGACATTTGCCATGTGTTGAAGACTGTGAAATATGTTATAGACATTTGTCATGTGTCATAGGCCATGTCATATGTTTTGGACACTGGTCATGTGTTAAAAGACTGTGACATATGTTATAGACACTTGTTATTAGTTGAAGGCCCTGCAATATGTGTGAGATAATTTTTCAGTTCAAGCTACTTGAATGAGATTAGTTTTTCTTAGTCACAAGGTTAAAATGCAATAATTTCATGAACTAATGTATTTCCCTTGGAAAATAGCAATAAACAAATTACCTAAAGTCTTTCATATTGACGAATTTTCTCAGTTACTTCTCATGTCATGGCAATTTTCAAATTTACTTGATGTATTTAAATAAGGAAAGATACAAGTTTTCCATATTTGCTTTATTCTTCTTCTCGTGAAAGTTGCGAAAATAAATCGCTCGCGAAAATAAGTTGGTTTACAGTGACTGAGTAATTGCCCTTTGATGAGATAGTCGCAGAAAAAGTCTCCTTCGTTTTTTAAAACATAGATTATATATAAATTTATCTATATTAAGTCAAAATGCATATATAAACACAAGTTTCATAATGTCTTTTATTTACTTGTGTCATCATCTAGATCTCTCTGATATATAACCCAAATCTCCTTTTTTTTCATTTTTGGTTTTTACCTTCAGTAAAGTGACTTGATCATCCTGATTAAGAATACAGAAGCCAGGAACAGATTTGGCAAAGTTTACCACAGAGATAATGGCGGGTGTGTAGAAATCATAAAAGTCCTCCCATTCCGGACTGTTATCGTTTGGGTCTCGGGCAAGCTGGGCATTCAATGGGCAAGCCTACAATAAATAACAAAAATCATATAAAAACATGTATAATATTTGTAATTCATAAATTACTTTTAGAAATCTTAAGCTACCGATTTGTAATGTGTATAAATTCAAATTATATCGATCAAGGTGATGAGAAAACAGATATTTGAGTCAAAGATGAAGATTAAATGTTCATTATTGCACAATGCTGACTCTCTCTTGGACTGAACATTTTGATGCTGTAAGATAGCCAGACCTACCATGTGAGCAGGGACGTTTAGGAAATCGTTATTGCACAATGCTGCCTCTCTCATGGACTGAACATTTTGAGGAGGTATTGTGTTAGTCTGTCTGTGTGCCAAAATAACAGCTTGAATGAGATCATCTGGATTCTGTAGTAAGGTATGAAGCTGGTTAACCTGAGTCTGACAGTTAACACGATGCATTTGTTCGATGATTCGAGCTTTCTCTTTCTTTGGGACACGTCCGAATCGGACAGCTAAAATAGAAAGATTGATAAATTAACTGTCAATTGTCTTCTTAAAACATGTAAAAGGCTTCATGGAAGTATTAAACAACAGTTTTATTAATTTGAAGATGAATAATTCTGTTTTACTAATAAAACAAATGTTATATATATTGCACCACTGCAAATTTAGTAGACCTTAAAATAGAAGTTGGAAATTATAATATGTTGTTAATAAAAGGAGGTGTGAGTTACATGTAGGAAAGGTCAATAATAAGACAAAACAACCAAACAAAAGGATATCTTTTTATTAAAGTTCAAAATATGGTTATCAACAAAACACAACACTTGGTGTCTATAGGTTGCGTTTCTGTAAATATTGACAATGCAATTTCCCATAGGAACTCCTTTTACGGCTAAAACTGTACCACTTTTACTATGAAGTTTTGAACAAAATCTTATCCTAGAATTGAAAGTTCATATGCACTACAATTTTTTTCAAAGGTCAAAATATAGGGCTGTGCGGCATATTTTCAACGTTTATATGCCCTGAACTTTTCAGAGTTTAAACTAACACTAATTTTCTTAACTACCCCTACCTCGAATGAAGGGTTACCACAGATTTCAATGTAAACAATATGCACATGTATATTTACTGGTAACATTCCCAAGTTATGTCTCTATGAGATGGAACACAGAGAGCATAACTGGGAACCAGTATGTAAACAAAATTAATTTTATATGAATATTCTAAATCTCCCCAAAAGAGGCGTGGTTTGAGAAACAGCTGTATTTACAAAGTGCAACCTATATCATATGTAAAGCTCTGAATTCCTCTAGATCTAATATAAAAATATGATGATGTGGTATTGATTGCCAATGAAACAGCTATCTACCAGAGACAATATGACGTAGAAGTTAATAACTATGGTTTAATGTTTGACCAAACCAATACTGCATGCCAGTAAAAAGCCCCAACATGACAAAATGTTAAATAATTAAAACGAGAAAACCAATGGCATTAGTACCAGATAATTTTAAATAAGTTGTGGTCATTAATAACCAATAGAAACTACTACCATGGTAACTTCTCTTTCTTAAAAGGAAAAAAAAAAACATTTAGAGATATACGAAATGAAATTTACTGACAAGATTGGATACAACCCTCTGCCTCTCAAATTAAGACCATAACACTTGTTATTCAAAGTATGGAAAAACAGGAAGTTTGTTTATGTTGTCATTGGTAATTGTCATAAATCAAGAAAGTTGTGAATTTCTCCTTCTATTCCTGTAATGTGTAGGTTTGAACTTCCTCACTAAACATAAAGTGATAAACATTCTCACACTCATATAAACAGTAAACATCTATTTATGTGAAAATTTGTGAAAATAAAATTTAATTAGTTTTATGTTTCTGACCCACCTTGAACTTTTAAAATTTTTATACTTTACTTTAATAGCATGAAATAAATACTTAAAATCGCTTTTTCATTTACGCATAGTTTGAAACATAAATATGAAAATAAACCATCTGCTATGTATATCCTAACCCTAAAACTTGACCAAATGTAAAATTTGAAAAAGAACCATGATTTTCTGGAATAAGGATAGACAAGAAAATTATCAGCACAAACAACACAGTATATGATTGCCAAATGAGACAAATATCAATCAGAGACCAAATGACATAGATGTAAGCAACTATTATTTGTCAACAATGAGCAATACCCATACTTTATAGGCAGCTATTATGTCTAATGACTCACTGGACCACAGTTAACATTTTGAGAGCAACTGTTTAAGGACTAACTGGATCACAGTTTATATTTTAAGAGCACCTGTTTAAGGACTAACTGAGCCAAAGTTTATATTTTAAGAGCACCTGTTTAGGGACTCACTGGGCCACAGTTTATATTTTAAGAGCACCTGTTTAAGGACTCTCTGAGCCACAGTTAATATTTTAAGAGCACCTGTTTAGGGACTCACTGAGCCATAGTTTATATTTTAAGAGCACCTGTTTAAGGACTCACTGAGCCACAGTTTATATTTTAAGAGCACCTGTTTAAGGACTAACTAGACCACAGTTTATATTTAAAGAGCACCTATTGAAGGACTCACTGAGCCACAGTTTATATTTTAAGAGCACCTGTTTAAGGACTAACTGGACCACAGTTTATAATTAAACAGCACCTGTTTAAGGACTAACTGGACCACAGTTTATATTTTAACAGCACCTGTTTAAGGACTAACTGGACCACAGTTTATATTTTAAGAGCACCTGTTTAAGGACTCACTGAGCCACAGTTTATATTTTAAGAGCCTCTGTTTAAGGGCTAACTGAACCACAGTTTATATTTTAACAGCACCTGTTTAAGGACTCACTGAGCCACAGTTTATATTTTAACAGCACCTGTTTAAGGACTAACTGGACCACAGTTTATATTTTAAGAGCATCTGTTTAAGGACTCACTGGGCCACAGTTTATATTTTAACAGCACCTGTTTAAGGACTCACTGAGCCACAGTTTATATTTTAACAGCACCTGTTTAAGGACTAACTGAGCCAAAGTTTATATTTTAAGAGAACCTGTTTAAGGACTAACTGGACCACAGTTTATATTTTAAGAGCATCTGTTTAAGGACTAACTGAACCACAGTTTATATTTTAACAGCACCTGTTTAAGGACTCACTGAGCCACAGTTTATATTTTAACAGCACCTGTTTAAGGACTAACTGAGCCAAAGTTTATATTTTAACAGCACCTGTTTAAGGACTAACTAGACAACAGTTTATATTTTAAGAGCACCTGTTTAAGGACTAACTGGACCAAAGTTTATACTTTAAGAGCACCTGTTTAAGGACTAACTGGACCACAGTTTATATCTTAAGAGCACCTGTTCAAGGACTAACTGGACCACAGTTTATATATCTTAAGAGCACCTGTTTAAGGACTAACTGGACCACAGTTTATATTTTAAGAGCACCTGTTTAAGCACTTACTGACCCTCAGTTTATATTTTAGAGAATCTGTTAAGATACAATAGACAAGTCTCCATCCATGACAATACACAAGTCTCCATCCATGACAATACACAAGTCTCCATCCATGACAATACACAAGTCTCCATCCATGACAATACACAAGTCTCCATCCATGACAATACACAAAGCCTACATGTCACTGTCCTTAGACAAATGTACATGTTTATTTTGTTTATCCTATATATTGATCTGGTCAGGTATTAAAGAAAAGCAATCCTTTTTGCCTTACTTCTCTTCTTACTTAATTATAATTATTGAACACGGCCCTGTACATTATAACTCAGACATTGTAATCCTCAAGTATGAACAAATTTTTTGTTCAATTACGTCACGCCGTAAGTCCTCTTTATGTATCTAATTTCCCCCTTTATCACACAGATGGTGGGATATAGAAGTATCATAATTCATGACATTCCTAATTTTAAAACATATCTAATTTCCCCCTTTATCACACAGATGGTGGAATATAGAAGTATCATAGTTCATGACATTCTTAATTATTAAAACATATATATAAAACATCAAGATGTTAGTCAATGATCTTTCTTACGAGGGCGCTGGATCGTTACGAGTAACGATGCACGTATACAATAAATAATTATATAAACGCCTAAAAAGTGTACAAAACAACAGCAATGTTAAAAAAAGGAAACATTAATTGTAAGTATCTATAAATATTTCGGATAACAGATATTCTTCAGTATGATTATGATGTAAAATGAATCATATCAATCTATTCTGATTAAACTATAACAATCTTGAAATTTATACAATTAAAACCAAACACAAAAACGCTTGTACAATTCTAAAATTTCAAAAATGCCGTAGGTTATATAGGAATTTACAACAGAGACTGCATAGATATGCTTCTAATAAAAATAGTAATGTGCTATATGAACTGGTACATTTCTAAAATTTCAAAGGTGACGACAGTTAATATATATATATATATATATATATATATCACATCTAAAATATACTTTTTCACTTTTTTGGTCTTTTGGAAAATGTTGTTTGTGCTGTATTTAGACCCCTCTAACAAGAAATTTGTTTTGCATGCACACGTATAAAAGTTGCGGTTTTTATCCAATGCAATCATAGGTTTGAACGTTGTTTTCAATTTAGACTTGTATATATATATATCACATTAACACACTTCAATATGAATTATACAAAATAAAAAATAATACTTTATTATATGATGTGACATCATGCTTGAATATAAATTTGGAATGAACTGAATTATCAAATAACTATTTTCTTTAATCAAGTGAATAAACTACCAACACCATGACAGTTTGAATTACCAAAATTACTAGATGTGGTGATATCATCCTTGGACTTTATAATTTGGAATAATGTATTCACTGAAATTTGTACTTTAATTCAATTTTAAATTTGGCAAGATGATCTAAAGCGTGACATTACTTTCAACCTAAAATTCAGCAATCTCAGAATACATGATTTAGATTTTCCTATTCTGTATTTATAGAAATTTTGCAGTTATTTTAAATACTAGATTTCATTTCCTTTACTCTGTTTATTATCATGATTATAAATTGCATAAACTAAGGTTCTTCTTACATTTTGTATTTATCTTTTTTCAAATATCATGCAGTGGTAGATCTTAATCTTCCAAAATATTAATAAAAATATCATGTTATATATATAAATTTTAGTCAAGAAAGAAATCTGTTTTAGCATGTTCAGTGTATAAAGTCCTTGGTTTTTAATTTCAAATAGTAGTTTTGAATTTCTGTGGTTCTTTCAAGGTTAGGTCTTTTTAAATCCTACAAATCCTGGGGTTTTCCAGACTTTTGTGTGGGCACCTGACTTTTACAAAGACATTTATCCTTTGTACTATATACATGATATAAAGCTCCTTTTTTCAAACGAAAGCATTAAGTTGCTGTGTAGGAAATTTACTACAACATGAAATTACAGACAAAGCGGGAAAGGTTCTTCAATATTCTATTTTTTTCGGGTGCAAATCCAGGTTTCGGTGAAAGGAGGGGCTGGGACATAATTCATTCATTACAGATATCATAATACACAAGACAATACAAAAGGTCAGGTATCAAGCAACAAATGTACCTTACAATAAAGTTCAAAATCTTACCATCCCTGGACATACCAACTGCAATACATTTCTTCAACCTGCAAGATATTTTATGTTTAGCTCTTGTTTGACAATTTTAACCAAAATAAAATTCATATAAAAATTGTGTTTATATATATATATTTGTTGTTGTTTAACACCATATTCATCAACCTTGGTTATATCATGGCCACCAGTTATTATTAGGGAAGATGGCTGAAAACTTAGGAGAGGACTATTAACCTTCTCATGAAAACTGGTAAAGTCCAAGTCAACTAAGATCAGTCAAACACACCTTGGTGGGGTTTGTGTTGCTCAGAACGTTTTTAGTTTCTATGTTGTGTTTTTTAAAATGTTTTTTTATCCACAAGCGGGATTTTCTTGCTGTGTTGAAGACCCATTGGTGGCCTCAGGCTGTTTTCTGCTCTTTGGTCAGGTTGCTGTCTCTTTGACACATTCCCCGTTTCCATTCTCAATTTTATTTGTCTTTTTTTTCAAAGGTATAATGTCAGTTCGTTTTTTGATTTATGAGTTTGAATATCACTTTGCTATCTTTTGCCTCTCTTTTCTAGGACAAAAGTGATTTGAAGCCTACTAAAATTTATCTGCAAACATTCTTACCATGTGCCCTTGGATTCTTTTCATTTCTGTATACATTGAAATCAAGGGGAGATAATCAAACAAACGGTTGCTTTATAATTCCTTACCTACAATACTGACATCTATTTCTGTTTACTCTCATAATATTACATTGTTGATTTTTTAAACAAGGTCTGTATTGTATCTTCTGTTGAATGCTGCGACGGAAAAATCCCTGAAATGATAGAACACATGTTGATTATTCTCTTTCAGCGTAATGTATTACACCTTCTTTGAATGAGACAGACTATAGATATAAGAAGATGTGGTATGAGTGCCAATAACAACTCTCCATCCAAGTCAAAATTTATAAAAGTAAGTACACTAGTTCTAGATTATTTTTACATACTGAAATTTTTTAGTGCATTTATATTATTGTGATTACTGAACAATTTTAAGTGACACAAGTGCAAGATTTATTATAGCACTTCTGGAAAATGCTGCATACAAATAAACCTATAAAAAAGGTTTAATTTTTGGTGCTAACTTATAATCCTGTTGCAACTTTCCCATAAGTACATATGCGAAAAGATAAGATACACAAGGAAAACATTTGATTCTAGCTATAAACTGACACATTTTTCTTAAACCTCAAATAAAATTTTGTTTGAAAATAGAATATATAGAATAAGTCATAATAATAAAATCTATTCCTAAAATCACTAAATTCTAAATAAGCAGAAATAACATAATCAACCAATTATCCCTAGCAATATATATATAACATAATTGCACTTTTATTTAAGTAAACTAAGAAAACAGCATCATCAAATCACACAAAAAAACAAAGACAAAACAAAAGTACTTCAGTTCACACTTAATGGGTTTCGATGACGATTAACTGAAATCTTATTTTCAAAAATATTCCATTACCTACTTATAAACTAATTTATAAGGATAAACTTTCTGTACCGTCTGTATTAAAGGAGTTAATGATAGATATCGTAGGATGCTGACCAAGCACTATGATGTCGTGCTAACAGAATTACCTGGTACATCTAATAATAGGTTAGATATATTAAGTTATATTACAGTTTGTAAGAACAATGTGATTTTGTGCAGTAATTTCACCCATCCTATCATGTTCACGGCAATCACTTTAACTGGATTAGCACACATACTAATTAATGACATTAACTGAATTAGCACACATACTAATTAATGACATTAACTGAATTAGCACACATACTAATTAATGACATTAACTGAATTAGCACACATACTTATTAACTACATAAATGTTGAAAAGTGGTTACATGATTAAATTACAATAAAATGCTCCGCAGGACGCAGCTTGATACAACCGCAGAGGTCGAACCCTGAACAGTTGTGGCAAGTATGGACACAACATTCAAGCTTGATACAGCTTTGCATTTGGATTGTGATTAAATATTTGACACAGCATAGGTTTCTGACACAGAATGAATGTGGTCTAAGAACTTAAAAATTCTAAATTGGACATTCACCTATTATGGTCCAATATCCAAAATCTAAATACATGGTTAGATTCAGCATATCAAAGAACCCCAAGAATTCAATTTTTGATGAAATCAAACAAAGTTTAATTTTGGACCCTTTTGACCTCAATGTGGACAAAGTTGATAACGGGGCCCAAAAATCAAAAATCTAAATACATTTGTACATGGTTAGATTCAGGATATCAAAGAACCCCATATATTAAATTTTTGTTGAAATCAAACAAAGTTTAATTTTGGACCCCGATTTGGACCAACTTGAAAACTGGGCCCATAATCAAAAATCTAAATACATATTTAGATTCAGCATATCAAAGAACCCTAAGAATTCAATTTTTGTTAAAATCAAACTCAGTTTAATTTTGGACCCTTTGGACCTTAATGTAGACCAATTTGAAAACGGAACCAAAAATTAAGAATCTAAATACACGGTTAGCCGGTTAGATTCGGCATATCAAAGAACCCCAATAATTCAATTTTTGATGAAATCAAACAAAGTTTAATTTTGGACCCTTTGGACCTCAATGTGGACCAAATTAAAAACGGGGCCCAAAATCTAAAAACTAAATACAAGGTTAGATTCAGCATATTAAAGAACCCCAAGAATTCAAGAATAAAACCCCATTGAAATTGGTCAAGAAATTAGCAATTTATACAAAGTATCTTCTTTTGCACAATACTGTGCTATTAAATATTTCTTGCTATTGCGTAATACTGTACAATTGACAATTTCTTGCTATTGCGCAATATTGTGCTATTGGATATTTCTTACTATTGCGCAATACTGTGCAATTGAAGATTTCTTGCTATTGCGCAATACTGTGCAATTAAAGATTTCTTGCTATTGTGCAATACTGTGCAATTGAAAATTTCTTGCTATTGCACAATACTTATTATACTTATTATATAATAATTTACACATCCTGTTTGGTGTGTATCTCCTACCATATCATTATTATTTGCTTTTAAATATAAATCAGAAATAAGCAACTTAAAATGGAAAATTTTAAAAGATAAAAAAAAGGAAACCCCCCCCCCCAATTTTTTGAACCCCCTTATGATTCATCACCCCCAAACTCAATCCCAGCCTTCCCTTTGTGGTATGGTACCTTGCAGTACAATTTCAGAGAGATCCATACACTTGAACACAAGTTATTGTCTGGAAACTAGAAAAATGTGTTTTTTGGCCCCTTTTTGGCCCAAAATTCCTAAACGTTAAGGGCAATTACCCCCAAATTCAAACCCAGCTTTCCCTTTGTGATATGGAACCTTGTAGTACAATTTCAGAAAGATCCATACACTTTACACACCAGTTATTGTCCTGAAACTAGAAAAATGCTTGTTTTTTGCCCCTTTTTGGCCCCTAATTCTTAAAATATTGAGGCAATTACCCCTATCATCAATCCCAGCCTTCCCTTTGTGGTATGGTGACTTGCAGTACAATTTCAAAGAGATCCATACACTTGAACACAAGTTATTGTCTGGAAACTAGAAAAATGCTTATTTTTGGCCCCTTTTTGGCCACCAATTCCTAAACGTTTCAGCAATTACCCCCAAACTCAATTCCAGCTTTCCCTTTGTGATATGGAACCTTGTAGTACAATTTCAGAAAGATCCATACACTTACACACAAGTTATTGGCATGAAACTAGAAAAATGCTTGTTTTTTGCCCCTTTTTTGGCCCTTAATTCCTAAAATTTTGAGGCAATTACCCCCAAAATCAATCCCAGCATTCCTTTTGTGATATGGAACCTTGTGGTACAATGTCAGAGAGATCCATACACTAACACACAAGTTATGTCTGGAAGTTACAAAAATGCTTATTTTTGGCCCCTAATTCCTTTACTGTTGGTACCACAACCCCCAAAATCAATCCCAACCTTCCTTTTGTGGTATTGAACCTTGTGGTAAAATTTCATAGAGATCCATTCACTTAAACTAAAGTAAGAGTGCAAAAACCAATGTGTCTTCGGACGACGCCAGACGACGACGACGCCAACGTCATACCAATATACGACCACAAAAATTTTTTTGCGGTCGTATAAAAATAATTAACTGGTCAAATGAATAACCACCAAATATAACAGATAAAGATATCAAAACTCAGAGGCGGATTTCAGGCCCACCCTTTATAGAGCTACATATATGATATATGCATTGACTTTTTACAAGTATCACTCCAAAAATTGGCTTTCTAAGCCCCCTCCCCCTTTTTCAAAATCCTGGATCCGCACCTGAAACTTCAGCATATTTTCCATTTGTAAAGGGGCATAACTCTAAAGTAAAAGTGACACCACCAAAATTCAGACTTGATCTGTGTTTTGTGGTCATAAGCATTTTGTATGAGATTCATAACATTTGGTTGAGGCAAACTTAAGTTAGAGAACAGAAATGAAAAATTCAGTAATATTTCCAATTGTAAAGGGGCATAACTCTAGAACAGTAAAAGTGACACCACCAAAATTCAAACTTGATCTGTGTTTTGTGGTAATAAGCATTGTGTATAAGTCTATTAACATTTGGTTGAGGCAAACTAAAGTTAGAGAATGGAAACGAAAAATTCAGCAATATTTCTAATTGTAAAGGGGCATAACTATATAACAGTAAAAGTGACGTAACCAAAATTCAAACTTGGTCTGTGTTTTGTGGAAATAAGCATTGGGTATAAGTTTCATAACATTTGGTTTAGGCAAACTAAAGTTAGTGAACGGAAACCAATTTTGGGACATACATACCGATGGATGTACCTACAGACCGACAAGGGTAAAACTAGTACTTAATGCCCCATTCACTACGGCAGGGTCATAAAAAGACCAAAACACAAAAACTTAACTTTAAGCACTGAACCATGAAAATGAGGTCAAGGACAGATGTCACCTGCCAGTTGGATATGTACACCTTCGATCATTCCATACACCAAATATGGAAGACCTATTGTTAATAGTATCTGATATATGGACTTGACCACGAAAACATAACCTTGTTCACTGATCCATGAAATGAGGTTGAGGTCAGATAAAAATGTCTGATGGGCATGAGGACTTTGCAAGGTACACATATACTAAATATAGTTATCCTATTACTCATAATAAAAGAGAAATTAACATTACAAAAAATCTTAACTTTTTTTTCAAGTAGTCACTGAACCATGAAAATGAGATCAAGGACATTGGAAACTTCATATCATAAGGCATCTATATACAAAGTATGAAGCATCCAGGTCTTCCACCTTCTTAAATATAAAGCTTTTAAGTATTTAGTTAATGCTGCCTCCGGATTACTATCCCTATGTCGAGCTTTCTGCGATGCAACAAAAAACCAACCAGGCAGGCTAATGGTTATTTAATCATAATCTTAAATGGAAATTACATTATGACTTTTTTCATAAAATATTTTCCTGTTTGATCTTCCTACTCAACTGAGATGGGTTAAATTGTCAACGTCTGAAAGTGAGAATAATACCATGACAGCATAAACTAAAACATCATTTGGACGGACTTGGAAACATTTAATTTATGGTCTTTCAAAACTTCCTCTTGTTTTTGAAGAACCCTAGATAACCTACAATTCCCAATATATAACAATAAATTACAATGGTTTTATTTTTAATTTCAGCAGCCAACACCATTTAATCAAATATTATTTGTTGGTTTTTAAAGCCAATTTCAGCTCCCATGGTTATATCATGGGGACCAGCTT